CCCACGTAAAACAAAACAAACCCAATAGGAAACCAAAAAAAAAACAAGCATTTTTAAGTTTTGACTTTTTTATGTAGTGAGTGTTTAAGCAGCAATCAGGCTTCAAGAGCACACTCGACCAGGCTGCTTGTAGTTTAGTAGTTTGATCTCTGTAGCTGCCTCATTATTTGCGTGGTGAATTGCCAAAGCAGACCATCTGCTACATTGCGAATGTTTACAAAAAAAATTGATATATCATTTTCCAGTGTAAAATCTTCAAGAGAGTAGAGTTTCAGTGAAGTTTTCATTTATGTACACGATATCATCATCATCGACCATGATCAAACCACTGCTGGTAACACATTCCTGCGGAGGGAGCTGGTAGGAACGTTGGGTTGCTCGGTCAATGGCCAGGGTCAACGGCGGCACCACGTGGTGTATTCCGCAAATATGCCCGACTGTGAGGGCGGGCACAAGCCGGCGTGAGTAGGTTAAACGTTGAGTTTATAAGGGCACCTCCCCACCCAGTCCCTCCCCACCCTCCCCTCCCCACCCAGCCCCTCCCCACCCTCCCCTCCCCACCCAGCCCCTCCCTACCCTCCCCTCTCCACCTAGCCCCACCCCTCCTATTTTTGGAAGCACGACGGACGGACACAATAATCCCCTGTGGGCTGGTGTAACCAGGAGGTTCCTACCAGTATAAGGCTTCCCCAAATCGTCACCATCTCTTGTTTCTGCGATGTAACAATTCGCTTATCAACCGCACACAAACTGATTTTATCACTGTATCTCCTCAGTCTTTATTCTTACGTATATATTGTTAGTTAAAGTGGTGCTGTGGATTCAATAATTTAAAAGTTTAATTTTTACCATCTTGTATTATTTCCCATTTGATGTCTAGTTTGGATAGGTTTGCTCACTCTATTATGCCTAATTTAACATATCCGATGTTTTATGTATAAAGCAATTCATCTTTACATGACTCCCTTCGAGTACTCCACTCACACTGTGAGTCCAAATCCTGCTCAGGAATTGACTCAGCCCCAACTAATGTATCTGGGGTGACAAAGTACTGTGAAAAGTGATGGGAAGGTTGAATTTCCACCTCTGACTCAACATCGATGAGCAACCACCCCATGCTGAGTTGAGAACGGAGGCATTTTGACCTTTGACTTGACCCTTGAACAAAGAATATTAAATCTCAACGAGCTCTTGCCCAGTCGCAAGGCACGTGTAGGTCCAGATTTCTTGTGATCCCCCCACCCCCATTTCATTATCTGAAACATTACGGTTTATTTAAAACATAAATGAATATGAAAAGGACATCTGGACCACCTTGTACATTGCCAATACAGGTATCATTGTAGTATATACTGCACTGGAATTAATTCTGAGCCATGAAATTTGGTTATGATGTAAATGAGACAGAATTTAAGAGTACAATATTACATGAGTAGAGAATGTGGTTAATAAATAATTCATTACATTTGCAAATACTGAGTACAGTTCAGGACATATAACAGTTTGTACTGTATTGCTCTAATTGTATTCAAATACAGCACATGCCAATTATATTTTTTGTAAGTAGATATTACCGTACACAACATTCAACGATGTTTTCATATCAAACAAATATTGTAACCGTGCGATGTGGCGAATTTTTCAAATGTTCTGTCTGAGGTTAATTCATGTACAGGGTGGTCCAGATGTCTCGTCGTCCCCATTTATATCTCTACAACTTCATATTTTTTTGTAAGTAAGGTGTATTTAAAACAGAAATGAATATGCAAAGAAAAAATATTCGGTTATAGGGGCATATTAATTTGCGGGGGTCACAAAACATCTGGACGACCGTGTACACTATACGTGTGTGATGTTGACCTAATGATGACCTTTCGCACCGTTACGTTGCCAACCGTGATAATCGGACCAAACTTGCATTACGTACTCGACAAAATGCCGCAACATTACACGGATCATACTACAATTGACAGGCACATAGGAATATAAAGCTCTGATTGCTGGTTGTGCTGCTGCTGCTGGTGGGGGTGGTAAATAGCTCCGATGCAAGAGCATTGGGTGTATACTCTTTGGTTCTATTGGGTAAAGTCACGTAGGTGAAAATAAAATAACAAAAAATCACGACGTTTCGGCCACAACACAAGCGGCCTTCATCAGGTGAAGGGACCAGCCTGTCTCGAAGACTGCGCTGGAGTGAAACAGAGCCAAGCTCAGACTGCGACCTTTAAGCTGTGTGAGAGGGATCAAGGTGCCTCGACAAAGGAATGACTTTACCCAATAGAACCAAAGAGTATGGATCCTAGCAGTCACGAAAGCTTTAAATCTAGAGAAGCACTGGGTGTCTCATGGTGCAACATTGCCTCCCACAGGCCAGAGCTGCCCTCTTCCACTAAATCTCTCGACTCTGCCCACCTAATTAAACTGCGCTGGGTAATTAGCCAAGCGAGTAATACTGCATTAACGTGTAGGCTGTTCCATAATTGGATGCTCCTCGGAGCAAGCTGTGCCACTTATTGAATTCACACGCGCGAATATCGGCGCTTTGGAATGGAGGTTGTTTCTTGGTCATCAAACCGTGATGGATTAAAATATCGGAGGGGTAATAATGTTTTATAAAAGCCACGACTTTACGTGACAAATCTTGATTTTTATTTTTTTTAAAGGTTCAGCGTTTGAAAACTATTTGAATCTTGATCCACTATTTAGGAACTGATCAAAGTGAACCAAAGCAATGTGTAAGACTCAATTTTTTACGTTATCCAAATTGACATTGTTATTAAAATGTTACATTTGAATGACATTTTCATATTATCTATAGAATGTCCTTATACTTTCATTTGCATAAACTGCGTATACTTTTTCCTCACTTTTCAGGACTTTAAAAGAGCGTGCACTTCCATCCATGTTACGCATAGAATAATTGTGTTTGTTTATGATTACCTTGCATAATATTTAACACGTAGGCTTTCGCGACCAAAATAATCCGTGAAACAGTTTTTTTTTGTTTTGTTAAATCGCGTAAATATAAATGCGTCGTTAAACCCGCCACCACCACCCGACACAGCCAATTAGTAAGGTTTGTAACGTAATCAGAACATGACAATTCGTTACTAGTACAGGACATTTGATAGCACTGACCGTATGGACATTTAAATGCAGTGCATTGTCGTTCCGACTTACGAACCGCTCGACTTACGAACCATTCGACTTACGAACCATTCGACTTACGAACGGATCTCAGGAACGAGTTAGGTTCATAAGCGGAGGACTGCCGTATACACATAAGCTTAAAGAAGTCACTTAGGGGCCGTCCATAAATGACGTCACGCGATTTTGTACGATTTTTGACCCCCCCCCCCCGTCGTCACATGGCGTCACAAAAAGCAAGACCCCCCCCCCCTCAAATATGACGTCATAAGGCTCTGTCCGCCCCCCAAAAAAATTAAACATGCTTCAAATCGCTTTAAACTATTGTCATTGTAGTGCGTATTTAATTTGGCGCTGCACTCTGATGTTGGAGGAGTAAAACATTTATTAAAAAGTCTATTTATTTAAGTAGAACGTGTTGTCTATATTTAGTTAAATTTGCGCATTTTGATGTGACGTCACATTTCTCAACCACCCCCCCCCCCATCGTCACACATCGTCACAAATGTCTGACCCCCCCCCCCCCCAGGTGCGTGACGTCATTTATGGACGGCCCCTTATATTGAAATCATTTAACTAGTAAACTCGTATAGGATTGTAGGTGGAACGTTTGTGCTCGTGTGACTTAATTTCACAATTAAAAAAAATCAATTACACGCTATATCAGGTACGGACAATCACCGTTTAAAATAAAATAGCATTAAAAGGGGTTGCAAATTAACAATGAAACGCTTCACAAAAGTGCATTTAACTTGAGCGAGTGCTTTATTCTGAGGTAAAACTTGCTCTAAATTCTGAGGTGAAATTTGGCCTATCTTTATTTGGACGTCCGTGGAAAAAAAAGATTTATAAGATAGATAGACAGATATTATGATCTTTACGTGGGCACCCGCGCCAGACCTTTTTGTCGGTAAAAGGCGACTCGGTCGCCGGCGCGAGAAGCGCCCGAGATTTTGGCGGGAGAAAAGTCGCGAGCGCGCGCCCGAGATTTTGGCGGGAAAAAAGTCGCGAGCGCGCGCCCGAGATTTTGGCGGGAAAAAAGTCGCGAGCACGCGCCCGAGATTTTTGGCGGGAAAAAAGTCGCGAGCGCGCGCCCGAGATTTGGCGGGAAAAGTCGCGAGCGCGCGCCAGAGACGTTGGGGCTCGCGGGTGAGCTCGTTTTGTTGACTCCCAGGCGATCGCAACAACAACAATAATAATAATATTCATAACCGGCACTTGCTGTTATTTTTTTTATTTTATCATAATCGCAAGCGTTACATAAACGTGTTGGGATGCTCAGTAAACAGCACCAAAGACCCACCAACAAACCGCACACTTTTATTGATGCAGTAATTTTACAAGTCGTGCATAACCGTAGTAAACTCCGTACATTTAATAACAAAAAAACAACACGCGCATACATCATTCACAACATTCGCAATCTTAAATTGAACAAAAAACGTGTAACTCCACAAAACGGCAATCGGCAAACTTCCACAAGACACACAATCATATCCCGACTCGGCAATTTTCGTAGGTCCAATTAACAGTTAATTTAATTGATTTAATTTAATTTCGCTATTGATTGAATGTACGTGCTTTGTGTGAACACGTGCAAGGGGAAACAGGTGAATAATACATTTTGTTAAAACGCTTAAGTGATGACTACCGTATAATCTCATTAAGCTATCACCAGGTAATTATGATGATAATTGTTTTTGTTATTTGATCTATCTACGTGGCTTTACCGAAAGACCCAAGAATAGTTAATTATCATATTGATAATTCTATTAGTGAGTGGCAGGATGCACTCGCGTGATTATAAAGATTATTTATCCTACGTTTGTCGCCCCCTACCGTCTCTATAAATTATAAACTTTCCTCATAACTTCGCTGCTATGAGGAAATTAACAACGTTACGGTCACGTTGCAAAAATGGGTTTAATCGTTTAAAAGGTAAGCATATGCGCAAGTTAAACCAAGACGGGTCAAATACATCTCACAATTGCTATCTATTTAATTACACGGTATTTGTAACTTTTTTTTGTTTAGTTATTACAATAAATTGAAATCAATCAAATTGCGGTATCATTTTTTTTGGTACAACATTTTTACAGGACCACGAGGGGGTTCTTCGTATTGTTTGTTTTTGTGTGTATACAAATATTAAGTCCATAAATAACCAGAGGGTACGAACGCCAAGTTTAATGTAACAAAAACCTAAAGGCAGTATTGTAAACAACACGTAATGAAAAAACGGCATTGAGAAAGTATTGACCCGAATGGGATTCTCATTGATTTTATTTAATTTATTTTGGTATAGCCCTGTGAGCCATGCGGCTCTTGAATCGGGTGCAACTTGCAACAAAAACAAAAACGTGAACAAGAAAAACATCTTAAAGTGACTACAACGTTAAGGCGAAGTCCTCTGGTGCGTGGCGGGGGGGGGGGGAATTATATAATTTTCTTTTGCCAGGAAAACTATTACATTTGTAACCGTAGTTATTGTAATGTTCGTGGAAATACTAATACGTAAAACCTAATGAAACGCTAGTGCTTACAAACGTGAGTGTAAATACCCACTTTTCAAAACGTCAGTATCTGTAAAATTACGTACTTTACAATTGCGGGTTGTCTTGTACTTTACGAATAATACTGCCGACATAATAATCGTTTAATTTTCGGCGTTTATTTGTTAATGTTAAGCGGTTGTCTAACCATCGTGTGGCCGTACAGCAAGAAGCTGTTGGATATTCGGGACACCTTTTAACTATATGTCATTTACAAATTTTTTTAACGAATAATGATCTTGTGACACATTTTGCAGGGGTCCGTAGTTGTGTCCGTTGTCAACATCTTAGACACTAAACTGAAAATGTCTCCCAAATTATTATTTTTAATCCTTAGTTTCAGTTTCTCGTTTATTTTTTTTTTTATATAATTAGAATAATTATTATAGCCCAGGCCGAAATCGACCAGAATGTGTGTGTGTGTGTGTTTTAGATCTAGAGAGCTAAGCAGTTCTTGAGCCTGGCTGCCACTTGCGTAACATACCACCATGCACTTCGCTTTGTTGTAATAGGGCTATGTTGCGAGCAACAGAGAGTAGTGCAGAAAGATACATTGTATTGTACTAATGCTCCCATGTCTATGCTCCCCCCACCACCACCACCACCAAACCATCCTGAATTATGTTCAAATAACCCACAAACAATCGCCCGTGCGTGTGGGGTCGATTTAAAACCACAAATGCCCTTTTTTTAAGAGAGGCATTTCTGAAATGGCTCTTTAAGTTGCTGAAGTGCATTCAAAGTACTCTTGTAAAATCTTGATTTGAAGCTTTCATAAACTGCAGGAATCCATACTCTTTGTTTCTTTCGGTAAAGTCACGTAGGTAGGTATAAAATAAAAGTCGTGATTTATTTTATACCTACGTGACTTTACCCAAAGAACCAAAGAGTATACAGTAAAACCTTGGATTGCGAGTAACTTGGTCTGCGAGTGTTTTGCAAGACGAGCAAATTTTATAAATAAATATTCATTGATGAGCGAGCGAGGTCTTGCAATACGAGTAGTAGCACGTATACGCTTTGTCTGCCGAGCGTCACGTTTCCACAACTGATATACGAGTGCTTTGATATACGAGTGCTTTGGATTACAAACACGTTTCTCGGAACGAATTATGCTCGCAATCCAAGGTTTTACTGAAGATATATACTCTTGTAAAGCTGATTTTTTTTTTATTCAGATGGTGCCTTGTTTCATACTTGTCAACCACTTATCAGTGCCTACCTTATTTCAGACCAATTCAGACATTTGGTCACCCCGTGCCCTTATAAATCTCAACGTTCATCCTACAAAGTCCTCATCACAAGGGAGAAACACAAAGAAATAGACAAAAACAAATATTTTGCCCGCTGTACACGATATGGATCTGAGAACTCGATTACCCCTGTACAAGAATACGGGTAAACCGTATGGGTCGACGACTATGTTGTTTGAAAAGGTTTTACCCTTTTAACTGGCACAAAAAAACTGACACCTTTATTCAAGGCATCATGTTTGCAATAACCAAATTCAAGGACAGTGCATATTATTATCAGAGTTGTCTCTTTTTTGTTTGCATTTTGACTGCTTGTGTTGTGGTTATTGCAAACATGATGCCTTGAATAAAGGTGTCAGTTTTTGTGCCAGTTAAAAGGGTAAAACCTATTCCTATATCTTGTTTCTGGCAAAGGAGGTCTCATAATGACTATGCTGTTTGTTGTATTTCCAGTAAACTTGCAAGATGTTCGGGATGAACGCACCGAAATCATGCCGCACGTACGGGAGGAAAAAAATCCGACTCTCGGTGCCCAACAACTCTGACACGGGGATCTTCAACAGCTCCCCTGTGCCTGCCGACGAAGGTGCAAACGGTGGAGTTTTTATTTTAGTTTATACCTATGTGCCTTTACCGAAATAAAACTTCAAATCTAGATAGGTTTGTTCAAGGAAGCACCCCACCATTCTGTGAACTAAGCAGAAATGTTGCCCCCCTCTCCGTTAATTTAAACAAAACCTTGCATGTGCTGTATTGGCTAAATTCCAGCTTTAATATTTTTTTATTATTAATCTGTTTGTCATGCAGGTATAAATTGCGCTCGTATGCTGCTGCCCTCTGCTGTGGTGGTTCTATAATTGCCGCTTCCGCGGATTGAGTACCGTAATCCGTTCGGATTTCTCTTTGCACTGCTCTGCACGACATCCGATTTGGATACGCCCGTCTCGTGACCATGATGCTGATGGCACAAACAGGTCCCACCACCACCACCTACCGTAGCATCGGCTTCTAAGATGCTACCATCAGTTTCTCCAGATGGCAGCTATTGCTGAAATTTTTGACACGCAGTAGAGGCCGACCGGAATTCGGTTTCGGCACCGAAAGTTGGCAAATGGCCACGTTCGGCATAGTTTCGGTTTCGGCCGAAAGTAAATTTTTAACTTTCTGGTTCCGGTTTCGGCCGAAACTGATATTGACTTTCAGTCGTCAACCGAAGATCTATTTTTAGAATATAACGCTAGTGCTAAGTCTATCAGCCGGTCAGTCGGTGCACGGCAATCCTATGCGATAGGCTGCATACATACACACGTACACACATACACGTATACACGTACACACGTAAACACGTACACACACGTATACACACATATACACGTACACACACGTCAGCAGCAGCTTGCGAGCGAGGTGACAGACGCAACCATGTCCTGGTGCCGTCAATAAATGACGTCACGCACCTAGGGGGGCGACTGCGGAGCGATTGGCGCGCTGCGCTACGAACCCGGCGGCCCGAGTTCGATTCACGCTCACGGCCGGTGACGATTATTTGAACCGGTCCTGGGCCTCCCCTAGGTCGACTCAACCTCAAACGAGTAAGTGGTGTGGTATGTCAACATCGCCACTGGGGAGACAAAGGCGGCCGGCCGTGGTGAATCCAAGTCCCGGGCGAAGCCGGGTAGTAAAGCTCGTATTTCATAAATCTTGTGTTCGGTAACTTCGATTATATACCTTTCTGTTTCGGTCTTGGTCGAAATTGAAGTTAAACTTTCGGTTTCGGCCGAAAGTCAATTTTTACTTTCGGTTTCGGTTTCGGCCGGCCTCTAACACAGGTTACAGCCTCATTCTTTATAAGTGTAACACGATTTAAAGCTTTCGTGACTGCAATGATTAATCTTCTTTGGTTCTTTCGGTAAAGTCACGTAGAATGAGAATAAAATACCAGACAGTCTCGTCCCTTCACCTGATGAAGGCCGCTTGTGTTGTGGCCGAAACGTCGTGAGAATATTATTGTGTTATTTTATTTTATCAATTTATTATTTTATTCTCATTCTACGTGACTTTACCGAAAGAACCAAAGAAGAAGTGTAACACGCTCCTTTTACCGACTCTCAGATCAATGACCATCAGGCAGTCCGTGTGCTCAACCAAATGAGCTATATAAGTAAATATATAAATGCTGCTTTCTTGTATCGCTGCTTTTATGAATGCTCATGAAAGTTAACGAAGAATGTATTTTTTGTCCTGTGATGCAGTGTTTTCCACAGTGAATAATAATAGGAGCCTCACACCGATACACGAGGACCAAACCCTTCAGTCATTTAAACCCGCTCCACATATAAGCACCTCTATAAGGTAAGCTATGCATTGCACGATACGTGCTTCGAGTACGCTTTTAAATTGACCGTTTCACAATATTCCTTAACTTAAATGGCAAGGTAATGCTTTGCAAAACGAGATCTGTAATGAATAATGCATTACATTTTTCAGTGGGGCAGTTCTGTGTGTTGGCAAAACACTCCATCTGTGGAGCCCATCAAGCTGTGGATTCTTGAAGCTTTTTAGAAGGGGAACTTTCCCTTTGTCAATTCTGTATCAAAAATATCAAGCTGGCACTTTCCCAAAGTGATATTGGTATTAAAAAACACACATTGGTGAGAAAGAGAGGGACTAATAATTGCAACTTTGGAAGAACCCGTGTAGATTGGATTTGATTTTAAAATTGCACCTGCATTTAAAGAGACTCTTCAAACGAGTATAACAAGACCTTCGGCCTCTGCTTGCCTCCAGGCAGCCCATGACAGTAGGAATTTGATGAAAATTGCGATTTACAACAGGCGCCTGCAGTGATTTCAACACGTTTTATCAGTGTAACGAGAGGCGAAAGTTGAGTCACGCCCCTGGCTTCCCTCTGGTGTCGGTTATAGCTGGTGGGACCGGTTTTAGCAGTACAGGGTCACCCGCGTTAGGGAAGATGCGCCTTTACGGAAATCCTCCCATAAATCACGTAAATATATATGCGGAAACGTTTGCAAGTGCAAATAGTGCAGCGTTACGTAATTATTTTCCTTTTGTATAATTACGTAATTGGTGGTTTTCTGTACAGTATGTACTGTGTGTGTTAAAGTGCACGTGGCCTCTCACAGGCGTCGTGGTGACGTCGCCGTCATTTAGTTGCGAATGGCGGGTGTTGGTATTGGTGTATGTGAATAATTTGATTCCCCCTCACGGACAACATCGGTGACAATATTCTAAATCGGCCCTGGGCTCCCCTTTGTCGACTCGGCCTCAAACGAGTACCTGGTGCGGTACGTATAAACATCGCCACTGGGGAGACAGAAGCGGCCGGGCGTGGTGCTGGCCACCCCACCCCCTCGTGTGCCGTGCCGGCCTTAATAGGTGCTTGCTAACAGCACTTTCCCCAACAGTCTGAGGCTATATGGGGGGTCCTTTGTCTTTGTATGTGACGTCTAGACCTATCCGAATTCACGGTAAACATTCGGAAGTGACTGCTTTCTGTTAATTAATATTACAATTAATAATTGAATACAGTATATTCCATTAGTTTAATTATGGGTCGTGTTAGGGTAGATATTTGATTTAAATGAAAGAATCCTAAGAAGTGCAATGTATATGCACAGTGATACGACGCAGGTGGCGACCAGAAAACGGACAGTGCGATGCAGCACTGAGAGAAAACGGTAGGGGAGGCACAACTTTCCAGATATGGGATTTCATCTTGGTTTTGGGAGAAAATGTATTAAGTTTCCGACATACGGAAAATTATGGTTACAGATATTTATCGGGAACCAAACCCTTTCGTAACCCGGGGACTGCCTGTTTGGGTGTGGGGAAGCCCAATTATGCAAATTTACCAGCTATAAAAGGGTCACCAAAGAAAAGGGTTGAGGGGGGGGAACCAGCTACCAGCAAGAAGGTCTGATGATCCACTGCTGGAGTGTGGAGCAACTACACACACGGCTGCAATCGTCTCAAGCTGCCCCAGAAGCCTATGAGTGCTGTACCTGGGGCTGAGTGCTGAGGTGTGGATGCAGTCTCTACTGCTGGAGTGCGGGAACTCGCCACGCCAAGAACAAGGACATCAATAGCTGCAAGGGCCTCCTCGGCTTCAATCAATTTGAGTGCCGAATCCACCATCCCCAAGGGAGCCACCTGCTCGTCCTACCGCTGAAGTGTGGAGACACCACACCAAGGGAGGCAGCAGTGCTCTTGCTGCTGGAAGGTGGACACACCACCGAGGGAGCCACCAGTGCTCTACCTACTGCTAGACTGGAGACGCCACACCCAAAGAAGGGACTGAAGCTCTGCATATTGCTAAAGGCTGACTATTAAGAACTGGTATGCGCAGGACTGCGAGTCCTTGTAAACGGGCGTGCCGGTGGGTGCATATGAGGGATTGAGTCGTTCGGTTGCATGTGTAAGGATAGTACGGGGCCTAGTGGCCGTAAATAATGATTGCAGCGATGAGGACAGGCAGGGTTAAGGGAGGCAACTGGGTGAGGAGTCAGCGTGGGGGTGGAGATGGAACCCCCGAGGTGTTATAGTGAGGCAGATGAAATCTCCGACAGGTGAGTTTGGGAAAAGGTACGTGGCAGAGCCGAGGGGGGAATGAAAGGCAGCGCGGAGTGGGGCTTGAGGCTGCCGTGGGGGGAGTCGGAGTCCGGATCGTCGTCGCTGTCATCGCTGTAGATTGTCCTCGTCCTGGAAGGCTACAACGACAGCTCCTATATAGTCAGCCAGCTGTGTAGGGAACATCATGTAGCCGCTACTTAATTGCCCAGTGTAATATAGTCAACCCGTGTCCATCTTAAGAGACATCAAATCGGGTGGACTTTTATAATATATAACTTAAGAAACAGCGTCTCAGAGTGCTATATTACACATATACAAACGGTTTATTTTTCTTTATTAAGTTCCATACCGAGCACACTAGTCAAAAAAATACTTGTTGGGGTTCTGCCTATAAGTGTGCATGAAAGGTAGCATCTATAAAAGTGTGGCAAAACGACATTCGCCAAGGAATCGCACTCCCCATACACCCTGCAACTATTCTGAATCGTTACAAGCATCTTGTTAAGCTCAATGCATTATTCTAAGCCAACGTCTCCTCTTACAGGAGCAGGTCTTCACTGCAAGAAACCAACACAAAGACAACTGTATGTTTTTATACTTTGTCAACCTCTTGTCAAAACTCGTGTAATTCCCTCGTGGGAGGCTTCACATCAATGCAACTTACAATAGCCTTTGGAGAGCATCATGGGTCTGACATGACGTTGCAGCACTATCTTAAACGTGCATTCGGCCCAAAATATTGGGATGTACCTCTTCAAATTACATTTCAAAACACCAACTGTGCTAACACTGAATATGCATGTGTCCATATTTTCCAAAAAAATATTTAAACTTTAGAACATTTTCATTTTACCATATACAGCAGAATTGCAACATTTTCCATGGTACGAGGAGATTGTCAGTGAACAAAGTACTAACAAACGTGGGTTCCACTGGTTTTGCTGTGTGCATGGTAAAAGAAAAGTGTACTTTCATACAATGGTCTCAATCCTCTCCTGAGGTAATTGCTGTCATGTTCCTACCTGGTTGTGTAACTTTATAAAATGTATGTTGTATGCATTTTGTCCTTTGCTCATGACACCTGTTGGTTTACTTTTTTTAAAGTTATGAATATTTTTTTTCCCAAAGGATTCGGCCAGAGACGTGGAAACTGTGGAAAGCGGTGAGGATATAGTTTTTTCTTGTATCATCCATTTATCACCTACACAAAATAAATATAATTGCTTCAAACCATACAAAAATAGTGTTATCTGTTAGATAAGTGTTTTGAGCAATTTACTGACTAAAGTAAGACCATGCATCAGCCTTTTTAATAGTAAAAAAAACAGTTGGCTGGATTTATTATTAACTGTCCTGTAAAATGTGAGGTCTCTGATTTGACTGATCACCATGTTAGTGTTATAGATAATATCACAGGTTATGCCTCTAATTCTATCCCTCCTGACGAATGGAGACCAGCTTATAATACAGAGGGTAATACGTGTAACCCCCGATATGTATTGTCATAAGAGTTTTGTTTGTTCTAGATTTAAAGCTTTCGTGACTGCAAGGATCCATACTCTTTGGTTCTATTGGGTAAAGTCACGTAGGTAAAAAATAAAATAACAAAAATCACGACGTTTCGGCCACAACACAGGGACTAGACTGTCTGGAGGACAGCGCTGGAGTGAAAAAAGGCCACGCTCAGATCACGACCTTTAAGCTTTTTGAGGAAGGTCAGCGTCTCGATGAGCTGTGACTTCTTGTCCCGTTGTCTGTTAAAAGCTCTAACAGATAGGTGAAAGCCCTCCCCATAGAGGTTATCAATTCTAGATTTAAAGCTTTCGTGACTGCAAGGATCCATACTCTTTGGTTCTATTGGGTAAAGTCACGTAGGTAAAAAATTAAATAACAAAAATCACGACGTTTCGGCCACAACACAAGCGGCCTTCATCAGGTGAAGGGACGAGACTGTCTGGAGGACAGCGCTGGAGTGAAAAAAGCCACGCTCAGATCACGACCTTTAAGCTTTTTGAGGAAGGTCAGCGTCTTGATGAATTGATAACCTCTATGGGGAGGGCTTTCACCTATCTGTTAGAGCTTTTAACAGACAACGGGACAAAAAGTCACAGCTCATCGAGACGCTGACCTTCCTCAAAAAGCTTAAAGGTTGTGATCTGAGCGTGGCTTTTTCACTCCAGCGCTGTCCTCCAGACAGTCTCGTCCCTTCACCTGATGAAGGCCGCTTGTGTTGTGGCCGAAACGTCGTGATTTTTGTTATTTTATTTTTTACCTACGTGACTTTACCCAATAGAACCAAAGAGTATAGTTTTGTTTGTGATGTTAATACAAAATATGTAACTTGGTTTACGTAACTTGGTCTGTATTAAGATGCACACATTCATGCTCTTCTGCACAAAACTTTAAAAACACGCACAATGGTCCCTGTAGAGCCATCAATCCCAAATCGCCATGCATTAAAGACAACAAATGCACTTAAACACTTCCTACAACTTCTGAAAGACAGACTGCACCAGATGGATACACACTGCATCGTCACAGAACACCCGAATATGGCGGCTTTACAACTTCCATCAGAATTTGTGCTTCTGACGTTGCAATAGAGGACAGGTGGACTGTTCCATGCCATCTGCTTCTCTCACTTCTTGAATGCACACATCAATGTTGAGTGCTGCCCACTGTCAAATCCATAATGTGTGCAAGTATGTCAAAGAATCTGTCGTGCCTATCTTTGGCCTCAACAGATCGTGCAAGTGTGTAGCGAGTCCAACTGGGTCGCAGACGGTGTCTTGGGAGCAACACTATTTCACCAACTCAACACACAACATAACGTAACCTACACTTCGGTGTTGAATGCCCATCTAACTACGCTACGGCAGAACTAGACACGGTTCGCTATCCCGGTCCGGACCACGAGCTGGGTCCCGGACTGCATGGCTGAAGGCTTCTTCAACCCAACGTGGATCTTCGTCACCAACAACCCGAAGAACCCTGAGCCCCTCACGGGGCCCCGTTATATTGGCCTGGGCTGGGACTGGCTCCGCCCCTCGCCCCGTCCACCTTCTAGATCTCTCGAGCTCTTTCCCGAGAGCTCCTTTATACCACGTGACCGCCCAGCAGCCCCCGTCCACCGGTGGCCTCCCTCCAATATCATCCGGTCATGTGTTGGCAGGTCAACCAGCGTATCATGCCCCATCGTAACCGTGGCTGGCTGACACTCCCTCTCGCTGCCTCACCGGGAGCCCGCACCGCACACTGTACGTGGTGCCTCCGCGCTGACCAGCGCTCACCCAAGCCCCGTTAGGGCTGGTACTACGCCCAGTAACCGGGCTGCACATAATGATAACATCCGCCGTGGCTTCGTAAGCTCGGCACCACACAGTGACATTCAGTCGCTGCAAGTGCATGATGACGTTCAACAATATCATTTTGGCATGTACATCTGCACCTAGGAATCCATATGGAGAATCCTTAACTTATCCATCCACGAGCGATACATGGAACGTTCCCAGCAAAAAGTGGGTGTGCTGCAAAGTTCGACAATGTGCCAAATTGCCCACAAATCAAAGGCCGTTATGCACTTGGCCGTGTTTACACTATACATCCCACCAATTTAGAATGCTTTCACCCCAGACTGCTTCTACATGAGGTCAAAGGTCCTGAGTCATTTGAAGAGCTGTGAACAGTTGATGGCAGAGGAGTGCACAAACTAGGCTTAACAAAATGTAAATGAGTCAGCAAACTGGTTGCCTAAAATTTGATATTGAACTTTTCATAGTCATTACACCGAAGTAGGAAGCAAACTTTGTGGATCATCTGTCTACTAATTTACCATTTGGGAACAATGTATTTAACAGGAACCTTCAAACCTCCAAAGTGTCTTGTGCGCCTGCGTGGCTTGATGTACAGTTATTTTATTTTTTACCTACGTGACTTTACCCAATAGAACCAAAGAGTATGGATCCTAGCAGTCACGAAAGCTTTAAATCTAGAATTGATGTACATTGTGGTGTTTTTCTCCACAGAGGAAACGTACCTAAGCTCGTATATGACGCTGCCGTCTGGGGTCTCCACCTTCTTAAACCAGCTGCAAAGTGACATGATGATAAGCTCCTCCCTGTCCACGGACGATACACTGCAAAGGGAGGACAACGCCTCAGATTTAGACTGCACCATCACAGAAACAATGCGGAAAGAAGGGCATGCCACACGTGAGATTATTGTCAAGTTCATTAGCACTCTTGTCAACGCACTCCAGTTTAGTTTGGTGTAGTTAGTTTTCCTTAGTTAAATTATTTGAATGGACATGTTTCCTCGACTATGCGTTGCACTCTGTTGCAATAACTTGTATAATTCTGATGTATGTGTGGGCTTGTGCTTTCGTGCATATTTTGTAAGTGGCACAGCTCTTTCCAGTGGATTTTAATAACGTCATTATTTTACTCTGTATTTTGAACTTCTTTGTAAATGCACCCTCGTATAAAGACACGGTTAATATTATTAAAGTTAACAAGCGATTGTACGATAACGTGACAATGTAATTTGGTGAAAATACAATTTTTTGTCTTGGGACAGATTATGCGGATGTGGAGGACATTGTAGAGACAGAGGTCCTAGGCGAACCTGAAGCGGACCAAATTGGTGTGAGCACAGCAGACTTCAACTTTATACAGTCTACAATGATCAACAGCAGCTGTCCACTGGGCACCATCAACATGGGCCTGCCTGAGGATATTTCAGAAATCTATGGTTGGTGCCAAGTCTGGATACATTTTTCTGTTTTCAACGGTGTTTCAAATGTAACAACACTATCTTGCCTTTAAAAAAAATCTATATACTTGGGTAGCTGTGTGGCTCAGCGCTGAGTTTGTGCTGCTGAGTGTTCGATTCTTTGTTTTAATCACCTGCACTTTAACTAGGTGGGTTCTCAAGTGTTGGGAGTTTATGGTTGCAGTCTGATAACCAGTGACTTCACACAAAATAGAATTTAAAACGTTGGTTGATTTTTATTAACTTAAAATACAGCAACAATCTCATAGCAGATCGTGTAGGAAAGTGAGTAATCCTTGTGTAAAAAATAAAAGCCACTTTCAACAAGTCCTGTGCTTCCGTAGGTCATTCTGACACGAGAAACAATGCAATGTAACATTTCCGAAAGGATTCCTCAATACAATTTGTGATATACTGCTATTGATGACTAATATACAACAAATTACATTTGACAAGCAAGCCTCAAAGTAAAGGAAACTGATGGTGGAGGACCCATATAGCATTTTTCATGAATATACCTAATAGAAGAAATACCTTGCTCGTGGTGAATGGTTGTGGGAAATATTTACCCTGCGCCAGGTGGCACGGTGTTGGCCAAAGCAGCTCTCAATCGGAAGGTTGTAAGTTAAATTCCTGTTTGGGGGTTGGCAAAGCCTATTTCCCCTCCCAGGATTAATACAACGAGTGCTGTCTTGTGGATTACCTTTTGGTTGTCTTATCGATGCCTCCTGCTATAAACCTTCTTTGGCATTTTCTACCACGGGTTCAGGGCAGTAAATAGTCGCCACCTATGCTCTTTTGAGCAGGGTATCGTTGACTGCACATTTGAATCCTCTATATGTAATTGTGTCGCGTACAATTGCTTACGTGAAATATGTACACGTATGAAGTCTGTTATAAAATGTGCCTTTTATAGATTCTAGGATCGGAAAGAAAAAACGCTCCACTTGTGTGAAAAAGACAAGTCTCAGGTATGGAGAGTTCATCTAACATGTGCACTAAGACTGCACAGGGTAAATGCATTATGCAATACTTTGTCAGTTTGGTTTTAAGAAATGTGATTAAATCTGCCTTGGTGTACATTTTTCTTAGTTAAAATTATCTGGGGAGGATATTCTGATGAAAAATGTGAAGTGCAATCGTGATTGGTAATGACAATGCACTTTTTTTGCTATTTGCCTATTTAATAACCATGTATATTTGTCAAGTAAATCTGGTACATCCATTGTCATTTTAAAAGATAAATGTTTTACTTTAAAGTTTGGTGCAATGGGTGTGCAGTAATCGTAGAATGTTTTTTTTAGCAAGGAAAGATCTTTGACTAGGACCAAGGCAACACTGAATGAATCGTCTGCACATATTTCAACATCTTTTTCAGGTATGTGCTTTAAATATCACTTAAGAATTCAAACATTAACTTTTCAGCACTATGTGATGTAGTTTCCACTGGCTCCACCCCACTACAATCCAGATTTGTATTCCACATTTGACCAAGTTACACATTTATACAAAGGAACAATTTGTCCAAATGTCACAAGTGAAGAAACGAGGAACAACGTGACTTTACCAAAAGAACCAATAATATGAATCGCTGCAGTCACGAAAGCTTTAAATCAATATGCGTAATTACTTCAAAAAGCTAGGTCAGGGAGTTATTCACTGACATAGCTTTCAATTAATTGCGTTAATGATTTGCAAGGTTAAGATTTGTGCAGTACATATTTGTTTAAACGAGACAACATTTTATTATTAGAACGATTAACTTTACTTGTAGTACACCACTGAAAGGGGAACACAATAAAGCATGTAATGTATGGAAAAAGAACAAGGGGGCGAGAGAATGCAAAATACAAAATAAAAGGATGGGACCAAAGTGGTCAGGAAAGATGAGGATCGGGAGTAAGACACTACACAAAGGCCTCAACACTGCATGGAGTTTTCGCAAGCAGAGGGGGGAGATTATGAGTGGGGGTGGCTACAAGTCCAGTTTTTTTATGGGAGGCTTGAGCTGATTTAGTTCAACGGTTATGCATAGGTTTTCATAGTTGTGCCATGTACATCTTTGTTTTCGGGTTGTCTGTTTTTGGCATTAACCCCAATATTTCTATATACATCCGTAACTTTTTCAGGAACTTCATCTCTAATAAAAAAAAGAGCAATTGTCTCAAGCGCCTCTGTCCACAATCTTCATCTCTGATATGCATTATGGCAATTGCTCAAAGTCGCCTACTTATACCATTTTATAGCGTTTTGTGGCAGTTTTGACAAATGTGCAGTTTTTGTTATCTGTGCTAATGCACTACTGCCAACGCAGTATCACAAGAAAGATGTTTTGAGAAGTTGCTTTAAACAACTTTCCAATGCAGTCTCTGAAATGTTATGTTAAGCCACAAGATGGCGCTTGCAAATTCCTCACCTGTTAAGAAAAGTAAAATATATATTTCATTTAAAATGTGTTGCAGGGAAAAAAGTTTACAGACTGGGAAACCTGAACGTGTCGTCGAGTGTCTTGGTGAAAAAAACTCTGAAATCTGCTCTGACAAATCCAAACAACGAAGCCACTCGACACACACCTAAGGTGCTTATGTACTCTCAGAAAACATCTTGCGATTACGTTTCATAATAAAAGTCACTTAACATTTGTCCCTGTTTCATTGTGGGCAAAACACAGGCATACTTGACTCAAGATCGGGTGATTTTTTTTATCAATATCAGGTCACCATGGTTTATTATGTTGATCCCGCAACACCTCCATCCTTTTGGATCTTCGTTGCAAAGTCGACACCCTCTGCTTACAATTTATGCATTTGACCTCTGGGTGTCACTCCAATACCTGTCTTAAACACAACCCCCATGATAGTCACGATATTGAGGGCTTCATCAGTGGATTGTGCAAGGGCTGTAAATTATTATTTGCTATTAAAGGCAATGTAAAACAGCTATATTTAGAAGTTTAATTACTATAAAAATATATGCATTGATAGCACAATGACGCTAAATCCAATATTTGTATAGACTGAGAAATTGCCTTCTTCTTTTACCAATGAATTATTGAATTAATTTAAGTAAAATGACAATGGCAGATACAAATGTGGCTCGATGTACTGATGAGATTATATAGATATTATAAGTAGTGCACGACCATGGAGCTGTGTGGTCGTGCATAGTTGTCCTCAACTGAGGTGGAATTGGCAATTTGTTTTTATATGACATTTGGAAAACATCCAACAGCTAATTAACAAGGTGCCATGATAAGTTTGGAATAGCTAATCGGTGTCTTTACCTGTGCATATTAAATGTTCTACCCGTGTATATTATGGGTTGTATCCTCCCTATGATCCACCAAACAATACGAAAATTCCCAAAATAATAAATATCAAAGCATTCATAAAATCCAGTGAGTCTTTCCCAGCTTAAAATGTTGTGTTACTCTAAAACAGGGTTATTCAGTTGGTGGCCTACAGGCCAGACTTAGCCCAGAAAATACCTTGGAATGGCTTGTGGAGAGATGTGTTTTGCCAAGACATAAAGATAAACCAATTTAGTAAAATGGAAGTGAGACACAACAAGAGACCTGAAAATGAATGGTACAGATTCATGGTCCGATATATAGATGTTATGATGTGACATAACGTCTATACACAATGCTATGATGTTACTTGACTTGTCATCACATGCCAATTTCACTTTGGCTCTCCAGATAATCTAATTTAACCCTGATCTAGGATGATGAATTAATGTTATGGTCCTAAAACAAATAATGTGGTGGTTGTGGTGTATTACTAGCCGACGTGCAGTGAAGCGCTAGAAGAAATGAGCAAATCCAAATCTTCTGTCATCGCCAAGCACGTTTCGTTCAGACAGCCCATAGACTGCACCTTTCCGACTAACGAGGTCACATCCCAGTCCTTGCAGGTATTTAATGCTTATTCCTATCCACACGTATGTTTTCATCCCCTTTTTTCCTTAAGTCTTCTTAGCTTGCTTTTGTGCTTTCATATGGATTGTCCTGTTTTGAATTCTCCCTGCTATTAACACTAACGTGGAATGGTGGCTCTGCAGTAAAAGGAGCGGCTCTCAATGAGACGTAAAATTGTGGTCGACTTGACCCATCATTCCTTCGGGGACGATGAGTACCACTTTTTGGAGAGGTCATCAATGGTTTTCCTAAAGGATGGACTTGCCCCCACGAAAGCAACGCGTCAATTCCACCACTGGCTCGGGGCTATAAAGGAGATGAGCAACCCCCTTAATCACTGACACTTATTAGCAGATGGTCCATAACAATGGTTATTTATTACTTATAGGTGACATGCATCTAGACACTCTGCTTCAGAAGACTGAATCCATTTGCTTTTAAGACCTCAATTATTCCTCCTGAGATTAATGTTGATTACAAACGGACTTGTTTGACATTAGCTGTCTTCTGACAATTTTTTTAAGTGTAACTTGAATTAAGAGCCTCTAACTTCTTGTTTTTTTTTAGACCAGAGACCTCTGACATTCAAATGTTTGTCCATGAGAATCGACAGTTTCGGATGGGGTAATTCGCTGTAAATAAATCACTCTACCTCCAAAAAAATCCTTTGTCACTTCAAAATGCTCAGTACTGACTAACAAGGCACTGTAGCATACAATTCAGTAAAGCAAAACTGCACATCTTTGTTATTACATTTAACTTTCCATTTCATAAAGCAAAAATCCCCAAAATGCTGTACTCCTGCAACATATAAACAATGATGTTCACTGTTTGTCCATATATCAATAGTCGCTAACAACATTTGTATTATTCGTTTTCCCCTTTTTGTGTAAATGTTGATGTGCAGGCATCGCACACAATCAAATATTTTCAGACAAAGACCAGCACACCTCAAAAGATGACCAACACTTTAGCTGTAAGTAAAACATTTAAGACATTGTAAAGTTCAGAGACAACCAGTGGGGGGTTGGCCAATGTGGATATCGATAACTGTAGATATTAGATTAATCGATGCTCCCGTGTTTTTCCTGACAGGCTGCTAGCTGGGCACCTCTCCACCCCAACAAAAACTATTGTTATTTTAGTGCTCGCATAGAGAAGTGGAAACGACAGCTGTCTTTTACATTGCAGAGCAATGGGTTCTCTAACGAGTGTTTAAATATAATTCATATATATTTTCCTGAATCCGGGGCATCTTGAATTGCTTAGAACTCTAAGATTTAGCTTTTGCCAAGTGCCGCCAACTATAATGATTTTAAGACTCCAGTCGTGTGCCGTGCACTTCATTATATCTCTGCATTGTGTGTGTGTGTGGCTGCAGCTGGACTTGTCGCCTGTGGCCCAGGAGAGCTTGAGTCAACTGGAGCCTAATCAGACTTGGGGCATTGTCAACTCGCAAGAAATTGCGCCCGACTCGCCCTCCACCAGCTCGAGCGGTATTGGGCAAGAGGTGCTGAAACTCCCATTGCATCCTTACACCACGCCCGCATGCATTTTATAGCACCGGAAAAGCATGGACCAACTTGTTGAGTGTTAATGAAAAAAGACCATTTTTATATTGCGATTATTATTTGCCATATTTTATTTTGCTGATCTGTTATTCATATTTATCGATTTATTTTGCTGTGACTTGTTGCGTGTCGGAGAAGCGGCGTTATTTTGTTGTTGATGAAACCTGATTTAAGAGCTTGTTGGCTCACAGGGTAATTCAAAATGAACTGAACTTCATAACGCTGCCCTAAAAGAGGAAAACTGTACAATAGGTGACGTTTTAGGCAATGGTCCTTCTTTCATAGCAGAGGGACAGTGGGCAAGTAACAATTGGAAACGACATTACATACCACTGAGCCACTAGGTCACCACAAGTGGGTTTTAAAATCTTGTTCCTAATGGTGACAACTGTTCTGTCAAAAAGCTACTGATGATTGCTATTTTGATTCGGTACTTGCCTTGATGGTACTCGTTTTCAAACTATAACGATATTTGTTGATGCCGTAATTTTATGGTTGGTACACGACTTGCAATCCAGAGGTCGTAAAAGTTCGCTCCCCTGGCATGGCAATTGAAACAAAAGGAAAGTTTCTTAAATCCCCATGCCTCAGTCCACCCAGCCAATACAAATGAGTACATAACAGTTGATTGGGAGGTTGCATGTGGTGGGATTAAGTGTGGGTACTTCCACCTCTTCCAAGATATCTGACCAGCATGGAAGAGTAGGCAAAGGGCTTTCTAGAGCTCCCTCCACATTTATGAGCAAACGATTGTTGGCTACGCCTTTTTCAGCTTGTCATGCATGCTCCGAGCTCTCAAGAGCTGTGCTGCATCGTGAGCCAGACGTTTGTAACAAAGAAGATGGGCCAACTCAAGCGTTTCCATGCACATGGTGGTCCAGGTGATGTAGGTAGCATACCCCGAGGTGAGTGAACAATCTTGTGCACAGGCCTTCAAAATACCCTTGAGATTGTGACATGTGCACACACACCAAGTGGCGGTGAGAGGCATAATCAACTCAAAAAAGCTCCAGGGGCCCTAAGTATCTCAAGTGGCCCCAGGAAACACGACACAAATTTAAATCCTATTAAACATTACAAGCTATTTAACATAAAGCAAGTTTATTGCTCTGACTTCTATCTTGTCTGCATCTCTCCTCAATATAGCTCTTAATTTAGTTTACATTTATCCTATTTTACTCGATCTGAAAATCTTGTCTCTTCTCTGGTCTCACTATATATCTTCTGTCATCTCACTCGGATATCAACATTTGAAAGGGGAGCCCACAAAAAATTCTGCTTGGTGCCTCAATGGGTGTAACACCACCATTGACTACAGAGTAATCAACATTTAGCTACCATGGTTAATGTCTGCAGTTACGACAATTTTGGGTTGTTCCCCGTTTTTGTTGACCATTAGCCAGTGGTGGAAGTTCCTCATTCTTATGGCAGGGTAAACCTCCATTTGGACACCACTGCTGATTCCCAATAAAGTGGTACTTGTTTTATCTACCCTAGGATGATGGGCTGAACTGATTCCAACATTTTTAAAGCTCGTGATTTCATATTGTCAAATTACCGCATGTAAGAGTAACAATGCGAGTGTATAAACTTGCGAGCGAAAACCACCATTAATCGTTACATTTCTCACGTCTACCATTACCAACAACGTGCCCTGCGACTAACATGCAATTTTAACATTTCTAGGGATAAGCGCAGTATTAATAGTATTATGCTATAGTTGACCGTTGTATCAATGTCGCATTTTATATTGTTGCAGATATTCTTTCGGAGAACTGAAAGCTGAAGAGTGACTGTAGTGTGCAAATATTAATGCACTTAAGGTTAGGTAACTGCACGATTGGTGAGCCTTGTATTTAAAATATTTTGTTGCACTTTAAGAATAGGAATAATATATAAAAAGTCTTCAAGAATTTAAAGGTTAAACTGCAAAGAATGAAAGATGCAAATTCACCATGCAGACAAACCCCTAAATGAAATTGTACCGTATTTAAATAAGCAAACCATATCATATGGTTTGTCTGGCAATAAAAAGTCAAATGTAACTCCTCTGCTCGAATTCTTACGTTATGTATGGTGCAATATCCTGGCTTGCCAGCATAATCCAGTACAGCAAAGTGTCAACTGATATATCACGTCCCTTCTGTATGGGATAGTGTTGCCCCCTTGCATCCCTGGGTTTTCTGCAGATGCTCTGGTTTCCTCCTACATGTATAAATACTAATTGGCTGAATTTTTTTTTTAGCAGCATTCTAGCTAGTCTGTGGTCCCTCGGCGATTGTGCGATTTACAATTACAATTAACGGTGCTGTATGAAATTAATCCATTAGATTTGTTTTGATTTTAAAATGGTCATTTAAATTACTCAATTGTGTAGTGAGTTCAACTGAGTTGCAGACGTACTCTTTGGAGGCAACACATTAATTAACACCAACACACGGGGTAACTGCCCCTTAACAGAATAACAACCTGTGGTGGTGACCAACCGGGCTAACTACACTAATTACTCCGTAACTAGCTACAAAGGACCGGACCACAGCTTGGGTCCCGGTCCACGTGCTGGACACTCTGTAGGACGTAGAACGTAGATTTCTTCAGAATGAACAACGCCGGTCCCTCTGGGGGACCCGGCTTATTACCTCTGTGACGTGGCCAGCTCCGCCCTTGGCCACGACCACCTTCTAGAACCCTCGAGCAGGATCTCGACCCTGACAAGTGACCACCCCTAGCTCCTACTTGGGGTCCCTGTGTAGACTTAACCGGTCACGCGTCCTCTGGGGCCAACTAGGGTGCCACGGCTTATATGAACCCCATTTCCATGGCCGGCACTCCCAAACCCGATCCTGTTGGGGCCAGCACTGCACGCCGAGCGTGGTGCCATCCAGCGCTATAGATCAGCGCTCACCGAGCCCCTCTAGGCCCGGTACTGCACCCACATCCAAGTGGTGTCTGCGATGTCGCGACACCACACGCCGTGCCTCTTTAGGGCCGGCACCACAGTGACATACGGCGACGTCACTACAATTGTATTAAATATTTGTAATTGTATTATCTTGGAATGCTTCATTACGGGTCCTATCAATGTATTTTTGGATGTAGGCCTCCCTAAGACATTACCATCTCTCATTCCTGGAAAGATTCATTGAATCAATGTTTCCAGAGGCTCTTTCTTGGAATATTTGCCCCAATTCCTTTTTCGGGCACTTTCTCCCGCCCCTTCCCACCCGCGTGAGGGGAAAATAATAGTTGAAGACTATCCACACGTGATGGAACAAAATGCGCACAGGTCGTACACCTACCTGCTCTCGCACAGGAACAGTCCAATCGTCCATGCAGGTGGGTGTCTCACACAGGGAGGGTGCTTCTCTCTGCATGATCCACAAACCGATTGCGTCAGTTGGTGAATTTCAGGTGTGCGTTGCCATCCACACATGGATACAATAATGAACGCTGGCACGGGTTTCTTCCATCTTGTGCAAAAGAGCAGGGAATGAACATCAACACTATATTTGAAAACACTGCCTATAAATGTCGACGATAAAAAAATGTATTCCCCATAAATGTTAATGTAGTATTTAACACCAATAATGTAACTGCTCATGATCAAATCACCTTTCATGTGCTCAATCTCATCCAGATCAAGTCCCTGGATCACAGGCTTGTCAAGATTAACACATTTCGAACTCCTGGCAAGAAAGACTCTTTAGTATGTTTTCTTTTATCCCCAAGTTCAACCTGAAATTACCTTGGACACGCCAAGAACGCAAGACTTTACCTTCCAGGTTATGCTTTGCATTGCATAGAGGCGATGAAACAAAGAAACACGCCAATCATTCCACTTGCACCACACTCCTTGCAACCTAGGTTTTATTGGCTCACGAACCTTCAAATGTCCCCTTTTTACTATAGAAATGGAGTCAAAGCTAAGGCACACTGGGCAACGTAATCACATGCCACACAAGTGACGTGGCCTATTTGGAATATTTTTGCTGCTCTTGCTTTACGATGCAATTTACAGCAGCCGCCTTTTCTAGAAATCATGTCATTATACCAAAACGTACGATGATGCGTGGCCACGAAGCTTGGCCTATTGGGTAACTCGTCTGTAAACTGTACCACATGCACCCTTACAATCAAACGCAAGTTGACCAATGCATTAAACAGTAAAAGTAGAAGTTTATTTTTTATTAACGTATTTAAATATTCCCAACATGCTGCGTTAGATATTTTTGGGCAATTTTACCAATCGTAGTCAACTTTGTCGCCCTTCAAAGCGATGTCTCATGGGTTCTTACCAGAAGTCTTTTTATATCAATCAACTGTTGTGTTATTGGTGCTGCAACCCATGAAGAAATGTCCTTATGGCAATCGGTAACGCTCCACCATATCAGGAAAAACATCCCCTGAAGATTCAGGACTCGCAATGACATTACACTCATACCTAACACGACAGGTCTCAGACTGTGAACTTGATTGGCACATGTCTGTGCTCGAGTCCATTTTTATTGGATTTAGCCTGCAGATGAGGCTGAACTTTGCATTGAAATGGTGACCAGTCCAAAATCAGAAAATTGCTAGTTGATAATTACAGATGACGAAACGCTGACTTTTAAAATGGGATTCTCAGCCGTGCTGACAGTTAACAGCAACCAAACCACCCGTTAATGCTCTTTTTTTAAGTGTTGGACCTGTGCTTGGACAGATGATGCAAAAGAATTGCGACCAACATCACCCCCAATGGTGCAGCGAGTGTTGGGAGACTCGTTCCAGCTGGTTGCGAGTGCGGGCTTTGAATAGGAAAAACATTTTTAACACTTTGTGAAAATGGTGATAACTGCTTGAGTGGCTGGATGCGAGTGCATCTCATGCTGTACTGCCCCGCTCCCCCCCCCCCCCACCCCCCACAATGCCTTTCTGGGATTGCGGAGGACTGCAGTGGTCATCCGTGTGAAATTACTGGATCTTACCACGTAAATGTGAAATATCCGTCACGGCATGAAGCTACCCAATCTAGATACGTGCTGCCAAAATGCTAATTTGACCCTGGATTACCTCTGCTCGTCTCCTCTTGCTCCATCCCCTACACTTGCCTGCTGCTCCAGCAACCAAGGCCTATCAAAAATGCCCAGTCAACCAACTCCGTGGGAAACCATGCCGAGTGTGCTGCCGATCCCGCCGTCACCCATCCTCGGATACCTCCATCCCTGTCAATCTGGTGTCTCGACCCTCTGCCTCATTCAAGTGTGCAAGCATCTTTGCATATCAAGTCTTAACCTGTAAAAAAAAATCCTCCTTCCCCATGACCTCACAATACAGTCTTCCTGTACATTGTCTTGAGATGTGATCGCAGACAAAATATAAATATTCGTCTTTCTCCGTGTTATGATGGCTGTTTGAACAATGATTGTAAAAAATGTTGATGGCTTGCGGCCATCCAGCAGTGTCTTTATCATAGCTGGCAACTTCAATTCGCTGGGTCAGTGCAGATTGGCAAAGGAGTTGGGGGGGAGGGGAAAGCCAGAACATTTTTCAGATCTTACTCGCCACTGGTGATAATGGTCAGGAATCTAATTCGGCTTGCCAGGTTCATGGCAAAGTGTGCGAACTACTGCAACACCGCCCCTCCCAGTCGCATGCAGATGCTTTCTAAAATGCACATTTGTATTTTAAAATAATGGGAGACGACTTTTAACTTTATTCAAACGAATCGCAATACTGTTCTGGTATCACCGAATTTATTTACACCACTTCACTGTTATAGACAATAGGAATGCATAATGTACTGGTAGAGATAAATAGGAATGCATAATGTACATTAGGCATGTAATGGTTTTCCCCAACCACCCCGATTCTATGAATTGTCATTTCAAGGCTCCCAATTCTGTAATAACTTTGGATTGTGGTGAATGTGGTGCCCTCCAGTGGCAGCAGGCATCGCGTGAACCATTTCACATTAAAAGGGGAAAACGAGGGGTGTAATGGATGCTCGTGTTTTGAGAACTATGCGATAAAATGTTATTCTGAATCGATGCAACGTTATGGCCTACTTGCAATTGATCTTAGCATAGAATCGTATACTGTTATCGGCACAATACACGACGCCAATATGCACCACACTGTTGTGACGCATGTCTTGATCACTTTAATGCCGTCCAGCTCTGACCTCAAGGTAACCTTATTGAGGCTCAGACACTCCAGCACACGACTACCACTCAAGAAGCAATCAGTGCGATGAGAACAACGAATTAAATTATAATGCATTTTACAAGAGGTCGGTAATGAAGGAGACGAGACCAAACCAATACAAAACCTCCCCAACCCCCCCCCTTCCCCGCTCCATCACCTTGCTTGCACCTGCATTCAGCAACTCACCCAGTCCTCGGCCCAACATCGAGGCTTCGCAAACCTATCTATACACCGCAAGCAAACAAATCCATAGTAGGCACGCGCACAAATCAAAGTAGTGCCTTCTCCCCACAACTGATCAAGAGGAACCACCAACTCATTCTCCATTACCCCCCCCCCCCCTCCTGGTAAACCCCCAAACAAATATCATACAAATTTTAAACAGTGACTCCATAAAAATTATAGGATTAAATCAATAACAAAGAAAACTGCACGCGATGCGTTTTCTGAAAGTTAACCCTCCACTCCACTGCAACAAAATAGCATGAAAAAGTGTGCCCTGCAGAGTGAGGATGGGAGAGGGAGGGAAGTGAGGGGGAGAGAAGTGAGTGCAACAAGATGCAATCAGGTGTGAAATTACGGGGCAGCCCGAAACTTAAAAGCTCGAGGGGGTTGGTGTTGGACTAAGCATAGGGCGTAGACTGTATGATACAGGATGACACACATGTGTACACGCTCGGTGGGTACATGGGCATTGACAGGGAGGCAGAGAAGTCAAATCAGTTAGGTGGTGCAAACACGGCAGGCTCCACAAATCATCAGGAAGCTTTCCATATGCGAAATGAACCAGGCCTGCTGAGAAAGTAGCCCAATTAAAGTGGGGTGGGGCTTGGTTTTGTGAATCAGCTGGTAACAACAAATCAGCGGAAAAAGGTGGCGATTCTTAGAGCTGATGGAAGAATGCATGGTCACACCCTAGCCTAGAATGGTGTCGTGTTATGCGTGGCCATTCCTGCCATTAACAGCGCAAAAAAGGTGCGGCCTTTTTGGCAGACTGTTCATTAACGCGTGGTGTACCACTCAAAACCTTGCCCCCCCACACACACAAATTACACCAAAGGAAGTGATTTATCATGTCACTTTGCATTAATGTTGCCCAAGATACCTCTAGGCTCCCAGTTGACACCTCTGGTGACGATCCGAGAAAATTTCTGGTTCGGAGGGCAAAGCACTAGATGACAAGCATCCATCATTGCCCCCACATGCCACACGTAACTATCTCCACAAATAACTATCTCCACAAGTGAACTGTCTGAGAGAAAGAGCTAGCAAGGGAGAGATAGCACGAGTTGGCGAGAGGTGAGCAGCACGCCAGAGCCTTGCCGCTGTGTAGATTAAAGAACGCCATTTCCATTCGCAACGTAGCCCCTCCTTGCTACGCCTCAGTGCTCGTTTCAGTGCAAGACAAAAAGAGAGAGAGTGAGGACAGACAGCCACGAAAGAATGGCGCTAGTTTGGGAGACATAAAAGAGAGCAGGGCAAGGTGCTCTGGGGCGTGCTTGCTCTATCTGGTGTAGTAGACGCGGTAGTAGACTGTCTTGGCCCGCCACAACGAGTACGAGTTGTCAAACTTGAGCAGGTAGGTGCCCGTGCCCGGGTACTGGTGGCTGCCGGCGTACACCTCGGTGTAGCAGTCCCTCCTATACACGGGGACCACCTCGCCCAGCACGGGCTTGGAGGCACCAGCCTTCGCCCCTGCAGCTTTGCCAGACCCGGCCAGGCTTCCGCCTTCCCCTGCAATGTGGAGGCGGTGGGGCGGGGGGGAGGTAGCGGTTAAATACAGCATTCAAACGCAGGAGTTACCACTGCCGATAAATACCTGTGGTTATAGCTGCAACTATCTACATTTGAACTAATAAGACAAATCTATCCATTAATTTTAAACCCCTTTGTTAAGCCAATGCTGGATGAAGGCATCACCCTGACGTGTCGGTGGTCAAGTAACAATCTGATTAAGTATTCTTCCACCACAACCGTGTATGAACAAAGATGGCCGTACTTGTACATGCAGGGTTTTTAACCCTCTCCCATTCCGAGACATCTGCAAAGATGCAGGGTTGGTCCCGTCCACCGCTGAATCTCGGAACGCGCAAGCGCAACAGCGTTAATCTTATTTAGAGAGACGCAGCGGCGCCGTTGTTTTTAAAGACACTGCACTCACCGCAGAGAACCGTAGCGACACGACCACGCTCTAAGGTAGCTGGCGCCACACGCCCCTCCCACAGGGCCTTGTGGGAGCCTCGGTACCAATCAACATGTACCATGTACGTCATCGGAACGGCAAAGGGTGAACACGAGCAGCGTGTAGACATCTGCCTGGCGAGGGCCACGACCGCTAATCGCACGTCGCCCCACGTACCGGCCTCCTCCTCCTCGTCGTCCTCGCTGGACTCGCTCACGTGCACGCTCACGCCGCTGGGCGGCTCGGCGTTCCACTCGAACAGCACCCCGAAGCCGATGTCGTAGTGGTCGGTGGCGAACTCCCAGAAGAGGTAGGCGCCGTCGCGGTGCGTGGGCACGCGCACCGTCAGCACCTCGCCGCGCCCCACCGTCAGCACAGAGTCCGCGTCCTGCCGCACCTTCATCTTGAAGTCGGCGATCTGGGGCCGCGTCCACATGGAGGGCGCCGCGATGCTCCGCCGCAGGTCTGAGTGTGCGCGGCAAAAAAAAAAAAACGCGACGGCGCCCGCGGGCGACTGTGAACGAGCCATCGCGTCCGCGTACACCCCAGGAAGGCACCCCGTACGGACGTGCGGCGCGCTGTGCAATAAATCTGGAGATCTAAATTCGTTCAGTGGCCAGGGATATTAGAATCGGTCCAACCCCATGCCGGCAACCCCTTCACCAACCATCAAAGACCGGTGCGGTGAAATATGGTTTAAAAAAAACACTTAAATGGCACGTGGAGGTCTTCATCCATTGGTGGGCATGTATGCACACAGGCATGCACGATGACCACAAAAAAAACTCTACATATTGCTTACATAAAACGTTGGGGCAAGTATTGTTACTTGGTCCCTGAGTAAGGGAAACGTTCCCCAGCCCCACATCATCATGATGCCGTGCACCTCCAAAGCTCAGAGTGTCACTGCTCCCGACGCCATTCTTGCCACACGTGACCCCAGGGGGAACATTCCTACCGCTGGGTCCGTTCTCCGTCCCTTCCTCGGCCGCCTCCGCGTCCCCCGCCTCGCCCGGTGGCCCCGCGAGTCCCTCCGCCGCGGGATCCGTGGGCCCGATCGTCGCGTCCTCCAGCAGGGTGGCCCCGTCGACCGTGCTGGCCCAGCCTTCTTGGGGGGGTGCCCCCCCTGCCACGCCGTCGCCGTTCTGCTGCTGGTGCTGCTGCTGCCTGAGCAACGCCGCCTGGCACAGCAAGGACGGCAATCACAGAGCGACAAAGACAAAGATCCCCCGTGTAGCCTGAACAGACTGTTGGGGCAAGTGCCGTTAGCGAGCGCCTATGAAGGCTGGCAGGGTACACGAGGGGGTGGGTGGCCAGCACCACGCACGCAACGCCTTTGTCTCCCCAGTAGCGATGTTTACACACCGTACCAGGGACTCATACAAGGTTGAGGCAACCTAAGGGAGGCCCAGGACCAGTTCAGATAATCGTCACTGGTGTTGGCCATGAGGGGGAATCGAACTCGGGCTGCCAGGTTCGTGGTGCAGCACGCTGACCGTTGCACTACCGCTCCCGACTTGATTCTATCTAGAATCTATATAGCACCCTTTCCACACACACATTTAAATACGGGGCATTCGTAAATATATAGGCCTTGTGTCAATCCACTGTTGGATGAAGGGCCTCCCCATGCTGTAGGTCATGGCGGTTATCGGATTGGGGAAGGCAGGCAACACAAACGTGTGGACAGCAGCAGGGTGATTAAGAAACTGCCACAACTGCCGCGACGGGAAATAGAACCGGCGACCTCCGTATCACAATTCCAATTTGCTAATGTCTGTTGAACTTCTTCTTGGTTCTTTCGGTAAAATCACGTGGAAGGGAAATAATAAAATAATAACAAAACAATTAAATTCTCACGACGTTTCGATTGCAACACAAGCAATCATCACCAGGTGTGAGAAAAACCACAACAAGAAAATCAGAAAAAAACACCACTTTTTCTAAATATTCTTGCTGTGGTTTTCACACCTGATGATGATTGCTTGTGTTGCAATCGAAACGTCGTGAGAATTGTATTGTTTTAGATTTTTATTATTTTGTTATTTCCCTTCTACGTGACTTTACCGAAAGAACCAAAAATATGAATCCCTGCAGTCACGAAAGCTTTAAATCGAAATTTATGTTGAACTTCTTCCGCACCGTACGTAGCCAACCGAGCATCATGAGCACGCACTTAGCGTGTTCTCCCCGTTCTGCACGGGTTTCCTCTGGGTTCTCCAGTCTCCTCACACAGCTAAAACACATATACAACGTAAACTATTGGCCAAACATCCCGCTCACTCGGTATCACTTATGGCACTGTTACCACCTCCCCCCACTCCTGCAAAACCTTGACAGGCCCTTCATGACATCGAGTCTCGAGGCTTTAGTGGGTTACACAAGTAGAATAATAAATAATAATAACAACAATAACCTGTTGCTGCTGCAACTGTATCTGATAAAGTTGGGCCATGTACTGCTGGTAGTGCTGTTCCTGCAGCTGGGCAATGAGCGCCTGCTGCTGCTCGTAGTTGCCCGGGTACTGCTGCGCCGCGTAATGCTGGAACTGCGCAGCGGTCTGCGCGTTCAGTGCCGCCATGATCTGCTGCCTGCACACGCACACACGGACACACACACACACGTGAACGTACACGAGTGAACACACGTACATGAGCGCACACACGGACACGAGTGAACACACGTACATGCGCACACACAGACACGAGTGAACACACATACATGCGCACACGGACACACACAAGTCAACACATACATGCGCATACAGACACACACAAGTGAACACACACATACATGCGCACACAGACACACACAAGTGAACACATATAAAAGACAAAGGCCCCCCCCCCCCCCATATAGCCTTTCAACAGACTGTTGGGGCAAGTGCTATGAGCAAGTGAAAGCCGGCAAGGTACGCAATGGGGTAGATGGCCAACACCACGCCCAACCACCTTCGTGTCTCCAGTAGCGATGCTTTTAAGTCCACAGCGTTATCGATGAAAATGTTGAGTTTTTTTTGTTCCTTGGCTTTGGCCACCACCGTCTTCGCAGAATCACCAAATGGCCAGTTTATTTGCTCACACACCACAAGTTTCTCCCGATGTGCTTCGACTGCCGAGCTGTGGCCCACCACCACCACCACCACCACACCGGCGCTGCTCACTTCTGCTGCTCCTGGCGCAGGCGCTCCTCGTCAGCACGCTGTCGCAACTCCTCCTCCCTCCTCTCCCGCTCCTCCTCCTCAAGCCGCCTCCTCTCCTCTTCCTGCCGTGCTCGCTCCCGCTCCTCCTCTTGCTGACGACGCAACTCCTCCTGCTCGAGCCTGTGCGCGTGCACCGCCAGGAGAGACGCGTACGGCACTCATCAGAATCGGAATGTTCGTTTAGTTTCAGGTTATTTTTTTTGGTATAGCCCTGTGAGCCATTCGGCTCTTGAATCGGGTGCAACCAGAACAAACAAAAAAACAAAACACGAACAAGAAAAACATCTTAAAGTGACTATGTGACTGTGCAAACAGAAAATCCATGGAAAAAAAAACGGCAAAATATTCCTGAAAAAAGCACCGTACACCAAAGCTGTGTGCAAAAAATCCCAGTGGGATGCAAGTCAAACAACAACAACCACAAGAAAACTTAGATTAAGGCCATCAGTCTAACTCTGTACTACAACAAAACAAACATGTCCAAACCAAAAAACGTTTTCAAAATCGCCAAAAAATAAAGCCATAATTGTAACGTAACAGTGATCATAGGGACTGTGACCGAATTTTTACAATAAACTACATAAATAACATGTAACACCAAATCCTAGAGCCATAGCTGGCTGCATGAGTTACTCCACAACAACAGAAGCATCAGTCGGAGTATCAAATTTTTCAATGCACCTTTAAGATCAGCACGCTAAATCAAAATACAGATAATACTTTGCAGCGTCATCCGGAGCGAAACATTTTATTTTATTTTATGCCAATGAATAGCAGTGGCAGCTAGGGGCGTACAACTCCTCTAGAGCAGTTTTGATAGAAGATCTCATTGGTCGCGATTCAAGTTGCAGTTTATTGGCAATAGCATTCCAGACCCTGGGGGCATCAATAGCAAAGGCCCTTCCTCCAGTTTTTGTACAGCAATAGGGAATGTGAAGCTGGTAAATTAGCGAAGACCTGAGGTCAAATTTGTTCTTGAAACAGAGAGGAGATCCAGCAGGTAGTCTGTGGATTTTTTCGTGTAAGTACATCATGAATAAATAAGATCTGGTGCACAAGCCGTCGAACATTAAGAGATGTTAATTTTTACCCAATGTAAACCCAATGTAGAGATCACAGTGGTGAGTCCTATATGGGCAGTTAAATGTAAATCTTAAGGCCGAGTGATAAATGGAATCAAGCTTCTTAGTACAGTACTTGGGGCTGATTTATACACGATGTCACAGTAGTCAAGTAGAGGCAGTAGGGTAGCTTTTATCAATACCAAACGGAACATTGGGGGGAAGCAGTGCTTGTGTCGATACAGAAAACCAATTTTTATTTTTGTCTTTTTACCAATATAATCAATGTGATCTTCAAAATTCAGTTTTGAATCCAGGATGACCCCAAGATACTTATAGCTCTTGACTTGCTCTATTTGATAATTATTTAAGAAATGTAATTGGGAAAAATTACTTCCTGCTTTGGTCCTGGTGAGAAGCATAGCACCTTGGTTTTGGAGGTATTCAGGACTAGTTTAAGAGCAACTAGCTGATGTTGTAGGTTGTTGAAATCACCCTGTAGCTTAGCAATCACGTCATCCGCAGAGCGGCCAGCAGTAATCAGTATCGTGTCATCTGCAAAAAAGATTTACCCTGGAATGATCCAGGTCAGTGCCCAAGTCATTGACATAAAGAGAGAACAAAAGGGGGCCGAGGATGGAACCCTATGGAACCCTTTTTGTTATCTTAACACTGTTTGACCTCCAACCATCTGTGAATACAGTTTGGGTGCAAGAAAAGAGTTAATTTTGTAACCATTTTACTGCGTTTTCGGAAAAATCGAGGCAAGTTAGTTTACTAAGCAGGGTGTTGTGGTCTACTGTACCAAAAGCTTTGGACAGGTCTAGAAAAAGACAGGCACAGTACTGCTTATTAGTCAACGGGGACAAAAATTGAGATAGGTCGGTAGATATTTGGATCATCTTTAGGGCCCCCTTTGTGAAGTGGACGGACAAAGGAATGTTTCCATTCTAGAGGAACGGATGCTTCTTTGATGGATAGGTTGAAAATATGGGCTATAGGTTTGCATATTAGGTGACCAATAGTTAGTGGAGCTAAGACGGGAATACTATCTGCTCCGGTAGAGGAGGACCCTTTGAGGTAGGACAGTTGTTTCAGAACATTACTTTTGTGGATTGGCTGGAAACTAAATTCGTTTAATGTTTGGACAGGGGTGTAGGAATTTGCATGAGCAGGGGTGACTTCCAATACATTATCAAAAAGATTACCAGCTTCAGAAAAATGAAGGTTAAAATTGTCAACTATTTTATGGGGATCTGAAAAATATTCCCCATTTCGGTAAAGCTCAACGGGCAGATTGTCTGTTTTGGATGCGTTTTCGATACATTTGATTGTTTTCCAGAAAATCCTGGCATTTCCATGTGATTCCAGGAGAGTGGAGGAAAAGTAGGCATTTTTTGCATGCCGTATTTTTTTGACGCATATATTCCTTAAAATCCTGTATTCTAGCCAGTCATTGACCAAATTACTCTTCTGAGCACATGCTCAAGCCTTGTCCCTAGTTTTCATGAGCTTTATAATCAAAAGGATCAAACCATGGTGGGCGGTTGCCTTTAGTTTTAAATCTAACCAAAGGAGCATGTTTGTTAAGAATTTGGAGAAACGTGTACCTGAAGGTCTCCTAAGCCGTAGTCAGGTTGGGGATATCACAGACCTTGTCAACATCCGAGTGAAGCACATCATAAGTAAATGCCTGAGTGCTGAAGTGTCTCATAGAGTGCTTCTCAACCAATTTAGGGGGAGCTTTGGGTCTGGCTGATGATCTCACCCCAAAAATGAAGGAGTGATCACTAAGGTTATTATCCAGAACACCAGTCAGTGTGAAATTGTGAGGAGCATTTGTCAATAGGACGTCAAGCAGAGATGACTGTCCCGGTTTTATTTAGGTTGGGTCTTGTGGGGACATGTATTAATTGAAACAGATTAAATTCATCTGCAAAATATGTGGCCACGGCTGGCGGGTTTAGCCAATTCCAATTTAGATCACCCACTAAAACTATTTCGCCTTTAGGGAGGCTCCCAAAAAGCTCACAGTGCAGATGCAGCTTCAACATCCTTCCCACTAGGCGGTCGATAGCAGCACACTACCAATATCTGTTGATTATTTGGGAGAGTTATTCTGAGAGCCAGACCTTCAAAGCAACATTTTTTAAACAAGGAGTGAGCTAGTGAACATGCAATAGTATTTCGAACATAGATGGCAATTCCACCTCCTTTAGATCCTCGGTAAAGCCGAAAATGGTTGTAGTTGTCAATCGCAATCTGCAAGTCATTGACGGCTACCCACAGGCTGCCCCAAGCTGACCACAGGCTGCCCACAGGCTGCCCACAGGCTAACCACAGACTGCACACAGGCTGACTACAGGCTAACCACAGGCTGCCCACAGGTTAACCACAGGCTGACCACAAGCTGCCCACAGGCTGCACACAGGCTGCCCATAGGCTGACCACAGGCTGACCAGAAGCTAACCACAAGCTGCCCATAGGCTGCCCCAAACTGACCACAGGCTGCCCACAGGCTGACCACAGGCTGCCCACAGGCTGACTACAGGCTAACCACAGGCTGCCCACAGGCTGACCACAGGCTGCCCACAGGCTGACTACAGGCTAACCACAGGCTGCCCACAGGCTGACTACAGGCTGACCACAAGCTGCCCACAGGCTGCCCACAGGCTGACCACAGGCTGCCCACAGGCTGCCCACAGGCTGACCACAAGCTGCCCACAGGCTACCCCAAACTGACCACAGGATGACCACAGGCTGCCCAGAGGGTGACCACAGGCTGCCCGCAGGCTAACCACAGGCTGCCCACAAGCTGCCCACAGGTTGACCACAGGCTGACCACAGGCTGCACAGAAGCTGCCCACAAGCTGCCCACAGGCTAACCACAGGCTGCCCACAAGCTGCCCACAGGCTGACCACAGGCTGCACAGAAGCTGCCCACAAGCTGCCCACAGGCTAACCACAGACTGCCCACAAGCTGCCCACAAGTTGCCCACAAGCTGACCACCGAAACTCAACCAGGGAGCCCAGCCACAACGCGTGCATGCTTCGCGCAGGGAGCGCGGGACCACGCACGCACGCACCGTATGCGCTCCTGCTCCTGCTTCTGGATGCGGTGCGAGGTGGTGTAGGGGGCGAAGAGCTGGCAGCAGCCGTTGAGGAGGTTCACGAAGCCGACCATAGCGTCTTCCTTGGACATGTCGCCCAGCGCCGCCCATTCACGCCTGCTCGAGAGAGAGACAGGGAGAGAGAGCGAGAGCACAGCCCGTGGTGCAAATGTACACACGCACGCACGGCGTACATGCATGTGGTCGGTGTGGTGAGTAGGTGCTTGTGCGGGTGAGTGGCTACGTGAGTGGATGTATGAGTGGGTGAGCAGGTGTGTGCACGAGTAAGTGGGCAAGTGGGTGCAGGAGTAAGTCCATAGGTGCATTTGTGAGCAAACGAGTAGGTGAGTACGTGCATGGGTCCATGTGTGGTAGAGTGGGTATGTAGGTACGCGGGCGCGTGCTTTGGCGAGTACGCGGGTGTGTAACTATCAGTGGATGTATTGTGCATAGGTAGGTGGGTGTGCGAGTTGGTGAGTACTTGAGTGAGTGGGTGGACGAGTGGACGGGGTTGTAGGCCACTACCTGCGGTCATTTCCCAACACGTCCAGGTATCCCACGTCAGGACTGGAGTCGGGGCTGAAGGGCCCAGCGGAGACCTGGCGCGACAGAGCCACAAGCTTCAGCTTGTCCGCGTAGCTCAGGTGAAATGCCTTGCCATCCTTTTCTGCAGTCGCGCACACAAAAATAAAGATTACCCCCCCGCCCACCATGCAACTATTACAGACTGTTGGGGAAAGTGCTCTTTGGTGAGCACCATTAAAGCCGGCACGGCACACAAAGGGGTGTGGTGATGTCTATACAACCTCACAAGGTGCTAATTTGAAGCCGGGTCAACCGAGCGGGACCATCGCCTGTTTAGATATTCGCGAGTGATGTTAGCCGTGAGCGCGAACCAAACTCGGGTCACCAGCTTTGTAGCACAGTGTGCAGACTACTACACCATCACTCCACCCAGGCACACGCGCGCACACGCACACATACCATCACCAACCCAGCATCGCTCTAAGTTCGACTGTTCATCGCCAGTTAGCTCCCAATTGTGTTTTTCGCGTGTCTGGCCACATGACATTGGCATCCATTCCAGATGCCACTCGAACTGGCACCAGAGGCATCTTCACACTGGAGGAGCGATCCAAAAAGGAAAACAATGACACCACGGAGCAAGTTATTGCGCCTCCGGATTAATAACGTGACAAAGCAAATAACAGGCATACTGAAATCGTCAGCGTTAAAATAATAACCGAGACGAGTCTCACGAGCAGATAAAACAGACCGTGTCGGCAGTGGTTCACGAGCAACAAAGCAAACCCAACACATTCGTTAAAAAAAATTCTTGAAACAGGAAATAAATATATGGAAGGTAACATTTCGGCCAATGACCCCTTCATAAGAGAGAAACGTCACCTATTGTGTGTTCCTCACTGAGGGCGCCGCTATTGATGAATGTGTTGAGTTTTTTGTAAGTTCACACAGTGGCTTAATCCGCGTGCTCCACTCACGCTGCCTTCAAGTGGCAGCGCGGCGGTTTGTCCAAGTTTGCCCGGCCAACGCAGCAATCGCACCCACAGCCTCGCGACCACCGCCTCGCTCCGAACAAACATAGCCTTATTCATATTTTTAGTTTTTTCGGTAAAGTCACGTTGAAGAGAAACAACAAAATAACAAAATATATATAAAAAACAATAAAAACTAAGAATATGAATTACTGCAGTCACGAAAGCTTTAAATCAAAACATAGCCTTGTTTGAAATTGAGAAGAAAAAAAAATACGTCGCATGACATTAACTGGGATATTGGGCAACAGGCCTTTACACAGCGCAAAGCGGAGCCAGGGTTTTGCTAATGCCAGCAGTAGCAGGGCGGAAGAGTTGTGTCGGGGTTCGTTGTCGTTGCACGTATGTACTCTCTTGCCAGCGTGGCCCTGCCGGCTGTATTTGATCTTGTATTGCCGGGATCAATCGCTGGGATGAAAGCTGAGCGAAGAGTTCACATTCCACCACAGCCGAGTGTCACTCCCCCCCCCCCACGCAGCTCCGACTCGCTTAGCGAGCTTGAGCGGGCACACAACAACAACAACGCACATATTCATTCACTCTTAAAGCTAATTTTGACACCAAGCTGTCGATTCTTTTAAACTGCAGATACTTTAGAACTTCATTTGCAATTGTGTTTAGACTCATATCCTTGGCTGTTCAGTGTACATATTTGTGTAACAGTCATCGCCCTATATCTGTTTCACGTCACTTTGAACTAAATTTGGTAATTGCGCTTTGATCAGCCTAAACATATTATGCCCAGGCCGACTTGCGCTGCAGGTCATTTATCACTTGGCACTGATTTACTTTTGTGCAAATATAATCGATTTCTCATGCGACACAATCGTTTTTGTTTGCCATAAGTTGGTACTGTACTAGGATGGGTGACCACCAGTGCTGGCCAGATGTTGTAGTTATGGGCTGCGATGGGGGGCAACAGGTGGCAGTGCAGCATTGAGTTCAGTCTACATTATTCAACATAATTCAAGTACTTGTATATTGAGTAAGTGTGGATCTGTTAGTGTTATCCGTCGTTTAAGTGTGGGCTTTAGCCAGTCCATTGCGTTTTCTTCCTCCAGGATGAACACTCATGGAATTGGCCAAAAATTCCAATGTGGGCGACCGCCCCCCCTTTCAAAAGCCACGAGATCCTGCGATGATGCACGGGCACGATCATTCACGAACGGTCAAAAAGCCCAACATTATTATCAAATTAATGTTGTCGCTATGTAAAGACAATTCATATTTACAGTGTGTGCAGCATCCAAAATGACGATGGCCTACATTCAATCGGCTGAGTGCCACTGGAGGATTCATGACCTCCTTTGTAAAGCAAGACCAGGTTCTCATATTGGCGAAAGGGGTTAGATTATTACATTAGCAAATTGATTTGCAGGAGATTTATTTACATTTCAAATTAAGGCTCTGACAGCAACACATAAAATAATTTGGATTCATTTTGCCGCCAAACTTCTCACCAAAGGTTAAATTTTATTTATTTGGAGGGTCCTGCTTGGGATTCTTGAGCAAGTACTTATTAAGAAAATTACAGAGCCGGGACGAATGGCCAATCAAGTCGATTCATCGACTAAAGATTGTTAATCAACTACTTTGTTGCGGTGGATTTGTTCAATGCACCGTCCGTTAAAGAGTGCTTTTGATGCACAGCGATTGGTCTACAGAGCGCACAACCCCCGGGTGGTAGTCACGTGACCTCTGCCTGTGATCCGATTTGTAGGTTTACCACCGCAGTCCTGCCACAAGAAGAAGCAATCAGATTTGTCCAGATTAGGGGGGGGAGGGGCAAACTAGTAACATCATCTCCTCCAGTACCTATTATTTTATTCGCACTAACAGTGAAAGGAACTAATACAATCGCTTGAGTTCACGTAACCAACAGAAGCCCGGGTGCACCGTGCCAACGCGTCTCCTTAATGATTGAATAAGCGCGCCTCGACTTCCGTGATCCAGCAGCAGTGTTCATGCCTCCAGTGTTTTGCTTCATCTCCCTGTGTGTGCAAGCATCATCTGTGTTCTCTTTATCAGTAGAATGACGACATATTTGCGTGTGCTATCTTCTCACATGCGTGCACAGGCTTTCTCCAGATCTAAAATGTTCCTGCTGTGTGCGAATACATATTTAATAAAATACTCAGGAACCACACTTTGCCCCACGACACGCGACCTGCCGATAAAACTGGTGAACCCCCACTGACACAACTGGGTGGACAGGCCGTGGTGAGGATTTAAGAAACCCGCCCAACCACTCTCAACTGCCGCGTCGGGAGATCGAATCGAACCGGCGACCTCTGGATTTGCAAGATCAAGCGCGAAACCATTATACCGCGGCAGCGTTCGTCAGAGCTTTTGGAAACAGGCGTTGAATTTTTAAAAACCACGGGGAGGTGGCAGAGAACAAGTGATTTATAGTTTGGCAAAGCTTCTAGAAATAACTGAAATAAATTATTTGTTTACCCGTTGATGCCTCGTTGAGCTTCAAAACTATTTTTTTTCCAAAGCAATGTTTTGGACAATTTCAAAGCATGGAAAATACCCACTTATCAGTGGATACAGGCACTCTAACAACCGCATAGACACAGGCAGTCAAGTGCCTACTTGCCGTACTGCCGCTAGTGACAACGGACCCCCCCCCCCCCTTACCCCGTGGGTGAGATTATTTCAGGATTATTTGCATGCACTGTCACGATTTCACTGATCAAAATCAGGTTTTTTGTTTTTTACGTGCAAGATGCGGGTGTCAGTTTGGGCATGCGAGAATCATTTCATTAGCCCCCCCCCCGTGAACTTCATCCGTGGATTCCTCCAGCCGTGTTGAGCACTCCAGTCCACCAGACTGCTTAAGTGTCTCGTCCACACTGCAAGTGGCATAACTTCTCTTTCTGCTTCCTCTCGCACACGGCTCGACTTTTGGGTATTCCCTCCCATCATCTTCTTTTTCCACGTTACAACTTTTGCTCAATCCAAGAAACGTAAGCAACTCCTACACTGTGCGTCACACCGTCACAAATCGCCGTTTGTTGCTGGCTGCTTGCCATTTTTACACCGGGGCTTGCAAACTGTGATATATTTTTTTGTAAGTGCAAATTATGTGACGTCACGATAAAGCTCATAGGGTGAGCAAAACAAAATGAGTACTACAAGCTACTACGCGTTTTCATTGAGACAAATAAACAACAAAAAATAACTTCGCAAACGACGATTTCGAACCGCGACCTTCCATTGAAATAACTTCATCGGTATGTCTTGGGACAGGAAGACGTACCAAGGCTCCCACAAGGCCATGCGTGAGGGCGTGTGGTACAGTTTTGGGCAAGCCATCATAGAGTGGCGGTCATGTCACTAAAGTTCACTGTGGTGAGTACAATGTCTTTAAAAACAACGGCGCTACTACACCTCTCGAAATAAAATTGGCGCTGAACCACTCCTGCGTTCTGAGATTCAGCTGTGAACGGGACACCCAGCCTGCACCTTTCGGACGTCTCGGAAAGGGTGAATGGCCAGAGGGCCCTGCCGTGGCGCTGCAAGGCAGACGTGAGCTATTAGTGAACGGGTGTTAGGACGAGAGGCTTACAACGTCACACACCCGCTCAGCCAATGAGCACTGCGTCCATGAACCATGAAGCGAGAGATCGCAGGAAGTTACGGCGTGGCTCTGACTTGACATGCCGACCTAATGCTCAGCGAGGGCGCTCCTCAGACCGCTAAGTCCCTGTTGCTGAGCCGCTAACAGGCCGTTTGATTAAAAACAAAAGCTCTGGCCATTTAACGCACCCCTTTAATCTATGCAGCAGAGTATATATTTGTTCCTCTCACATGACCCCGTGACCCCGTGAATCATCAGCGCGTGGTGTCATCAGTCACGGTGTGTGACGAAGAAGAGGCCTGTGTTAATCGGCGGCGAGTTATTTTTCCAAATTTTGGCCAACCCTCATTAACTTTATAATACATCCTTCTAACGCCTTATTTACATGAGATCATCTGCACGAGTGTTACCGTGACCGCCCGCCTCGGACGGACAAATGGAGTTTATGAATTCGTGTAAAAATTCATCAATTACGGAATCAATTCTCAACGCAGAATCACAATTCATGCCACCATGAGTGGGTGCAGGGCAAATTGTTACAAGCCGAGCTTTAGATCCGACACTTTCTTATTTTCCACGAACCTGATCGTGCTCGTCCTTATCGCAGCTGCATTACAGCGAGCGTTGAAGGTTTATGTTCAGATACTTTTACGGGTAAATAAACGCTTCATGTTTTAACAATGGGTTTCGTTGTGTATATTGTTTGCTTTACTGCTCCAGATTCCTCTTATAGACGACACGTTAAGTAGCCTCCCCACTGCATGCACAGCCCGATTGTCAATACACTGCTGGGTGAGGGTTTCCCCACACCGTGTGGGTTTTGGCAGTTATTGGTCCATACTTCACCACGCTGGTAAGCTCAGAGTGATGCAGTTGTCCCCGGGGGCATAGACATGGGAGCATAGAATCATAACAAAAAAATATATCTTGTTTTTGCACAGGCCTCTGCTAAAGCAGCTGTCCAGACTCAATCATGCCTAGCTTCTGAGATCTCACAGAGGCTGGGTGCAATCTGAGTGATTTGATCACAGGCAGCTCAAATCTACAGGGATGGAGTACAATGCTGGAGTATAAGATAGAGGTTGGTGGTGCTTGGGTATGAAAGTCAGATATGCGTGGTGCTCAGGCTTGGCAAAGGTTAGAAGCATAGACGCTGGGGAGCTTAGTAAAGTACAACAACAGACTTTTTGTGCAATGCCCTCTGCTGCCAATGCAGCCCCGCAGCACCTGATAGTATTTATTTTATGCATTGGTGGCCGTACATCAAAGCACTATCAGGACTCAAAAACCCTGCTTAGCTTGCGAAATCTGACGAGGTGGGACATGTCGCCGGTGATCTGGTCGTAGGCCTGGAGAGCGTTATTCTTAGATTTTTAAAAAAAAGTTCAACCAAAGGGAGTGGACAAGATCGTCGGGCGCAGCTCAGAAGAAAAAAAAACACAGCAGAGGCACCCAGGCATGGGCTGCCCTAATTACGGCCCAACAGCTGATAGCACCGGGCACAAGGGAGTGCTTTGACGCCAGGAAAAGAATACACTTCGTTGGTGACCGGTTACAGACGATGATTACAGCATCGTAGGTGGCTGAAATTACAATCACAGTTACAATGGGATTGAAATTGATTACGATTAAGAATCAAACAATTAGAATTGTAAGTGAACCCAGGTCTGAACTGGGTAGAGAAGTCACTATTTCTGCAGTTCATGAGGGGGGTGAACAGCAGCCATACATGGTGGATATTTTCTTTGCCAGTGCACAGTCGATGGTACGCATGTAGCAAGATGTTAGCTACTTTGCTTGGTACACAGGAGGCCGGGGGTTTTATCCCAACCCTGAAGCCTGTATATTTGGATTTTGCTGCAGTTCTCCCCGTGGTCACGTGAATTTTTTCCCGGGTCCTCTGGTTTTTCCCCCCGTATTTATAAACATGCGTTTAAGGGTATTTCGCTGCAATATAAGTCCACATGATAAGCCACTTCCCTTGAGCGATCATTTATGGCTAGGTCGCTTATGAAACATAACTAGAAAGCTCAGTGGGCCTAACCTGGTAAAAAATTAAAGTTAATAACCATTAAAATCACCCACGCACAATTCTATCAATTGGTTCTTTCGCTAAAGTCACGTAGAAGGGAAATAATAAAAATAAAACATAATAAAATAAAATTCTCACGACGTTTCGGCCACAAGGCAAGCAGCCGTCCTCAGAACAGAGCTGTCGGAAAGACAGCGTCCTAGGACCTGTCGGAAAGAGCATCCTGTCGGATGTTCTTCAGACAGCTCTGTTCTTCAGAATTTTTATTTTTATCATTTTTATTTTATTATTTCCCTTCTACGTGACTTTACCGAATGAACCAAGAATATGAGTCCCTGCAGTCACGCAAGCTTTAAATCTAAATTTTATATTTAATGTTTGAAGTTTTACTTTACAGCCATTTGCCAATCCATGAGTGGACAATTGCCTCTCCACCCCACGTTGGGCCTTCTGATTGTTTGGCAATACTTCACCACGCTGGTCAGTGTGGGTTGGTGAAGGCAGGGAGCATAAACATGGGAGTAGGAAGTACAGTACAATGGATGTCGCTGTGAACTACCCTGTGCTGCTCACCACATACCCCTGCACCAGTCTATAATAATTTGAATCTGCTGTCCCTGGTTGTCACTCATCCAAGCATCTGACAAGATCAGGTACACAATGAGTGATTTGGTCAAAGTCAGCTGCAGTGTAAAGGGGTCAAAATGAAGGCTGTTTGGGTATGCGAGAAGAATTCCAGCGGTCAGGGCCGAAGCTAATGTGGCTTAAATATGAGAGTAGGGGTTGCTGCTTAGGTACAGCAATGACATGTTGAAGATGCCCAGGCTTGGGAGAGAAGAAGAACAGATGTTTCCCCAGGTATGTGACAGGAGTTCAAGGCAGTCAGGTGAGAGAATATGGTGGGTGGAGCAAACGCTGATGGCTGAACACGTGTTGATGATTCCGGCGCACAGGGATGATGGTGGCCGTGAATGCAGAGGGACTCGTGGAAGTCGATGGAGGAATATGATGGTGCCTGTATAGACAGAAGGGGGTTAACAGTGACACTGTATGTTGGTTTTAACACGTAGGCTTTCGCGACCAATATTATTCATAATAAAGGTTTTCGTACATTGCATGCACGTATGTTGAACTTCTTTGCACACCGTAGTAAGCCAACCGTGCTAAAATGTGACGGTGCTAAGTGGTACACAATACAGGTGTAGCAGTAATTGTGCGGCACATTTGTCGATCCACGGCCGTACGAGGCAGAGGGGGTTATTTGACCATACTTCACCATGCTGGTCAGTGCAGGTTCGTGGAGGTGAGGGCCATAGATGTGGAAGCTTAGAAGCAAAGTACAGCAATGGATTTTCCTGCACTGTTTAGCATGGATAGTACTTGGATGGTGACCACCATGCAAACTGGTTGCCATAGGGCTGAGGGGGGATGGGGGGTAAATATGAAATGATGGCACCCTAATGCAGTGTGGATCGAGCCCAGATAATCGTGTTATTTTGAGTTCTAACCTGGTTAAAAAAAGTACACGATAAACTGAATCCCAACCCAAGTGAACCACCTGGAATGAGCTCACCAGGACAATGTCCGATTTTCCCAGTGGGCCCTTCAGACCTTGGTGTCAACCATCGCTGGATTGGTCCACCGGGCGAACTGGAATTGCACCTCGTCAGCAGTTCCTGGTGTTGGGTAAACCACACGCCTGGCCCAACTTAATCGCTGCGGTACAACTAATTACCCATACATAGCAATAATCACCCCCTACTGGCAGACTAACGAATAATGCTCCAGGTCACAATTGCAATTAGACTATGCTGGTCTTTTGAGTTCTCCCTTGGGTTAACCAAAGAAACTCTAGCGTCAAACTAGACAGGTGATGTATTTTAAGATGCCCAATTTGGTAATAGGAGTTGGTGCCCAAAGCCGATGACATTTCGATGATGGTTCCTGAACACATGAGAGAGGCTAATCCTGCCAATACATAAGTTTGTTGGTGTCTGAGTAGGTGACGTGAGTTAACTCCCAAACGTAAAGTTAGTGTCCCTTTCCAGGTTGGGTGACTTCAGTGAATGATATCCCCAAAGTACAAGTTGATGTTGCCTGAGTTGGTGTCAATAATTGATGGTGACAAGGTATTGATGATACCCAGATAGGTGACGTAAGACTACAAGGACAATGATGATGATGATGATACTCCAACCCAGACACGGCAGTGTGGTCAGATGAGGTTTTGTGGTTGGGTAGGTGATAACATTAAACATTAAGTAGGTAGGCCAGCCTGTAGGTGAGCGTCTGAGGAGGTGGGCGAGTGGTGAAAGCGAGTAGGTGGGTGAATGGGTGAGTAGGTGTGTGTGGGTGTGTGAGTGAGTAGGTGTGTGGGTGAGTAGGTGTGTGTGGATGAGTAGGTGTGTGTGGGTGAGTAGGTGTGTGTGCATGAGTAGTGTGTGGTTGGGTCAGGTGAGTAGGTGTGTGGGTGAGTAGAGGTGTGTGGGTGAGTAGGTGTGTGGATGCGTAGGTGTGCGTGGATGAGTAGGTGTGCGTGGGTGGGTCAGGTGAGTACGTAGGTGAACGTGTGAGTGAACACCCCTGACTGGGCCTACGAGCCAAGCCCCTAAGGGTCACCCAGCACCACCACCACTACCCCCCTCCGCCCTCCATCTCACCGCGGTAGAACTTGAGCGCGAGTCTGTAGAGCTCAGCGACAGGGAAGCCCCAAGCCTCCTCAAGTGCAGCGGCGCCACCATCGCCACCACCGTCGCCGCCGCCGCCGCCTTCGAGTCCCTTCTGCTCGGCACCCTCCGGCGTCTCGGCCGTCCCCTCGCCGTCTCCAGCCGCCTCGGCTGCACCGGGCAACGCCGCTGCCGAGTCGGCGGCGGCGTCGTCGTCGGCTCGCGGGCCGAGCTCGCTCGGAGACAGCGCCATGCCCACCACGGCCACCTCCAGCTGAGACACGGCCGCGTCCGCCATGCAGCCGCCACGTCGGTACAGGTCACCTCACTTCCGGTTCGCCACTTCCGGGGGGGGTGGGCGGGTGTGGGGAGGGGCGTGGGGATGGGGGTGGGTGGGCGTGGGGAGGGGCGTGGGGAGGGGCGTGGATGGGCGTGGGGAGGGGCGTGGATGGGCGTGGGGAGGGGCGTGGGGAGGGGCGTGGGGAGGGGCGTGGCGAGGGGCGTGGGGAGGGGCGTGGAAGGGTGCCTAATTAATACTCATGAGGGGTATGCAATGAGATGGGAAGATGCACACGCACGCACAACAACACGGTTCTTGATACACAGCAGTGAACTTGCATCGCCCGACTTAAAGGTTTACGAAATAAGCCATCGCCCTTAATTAATATTCATGATGTATCGACTTCCGGTTCGGCGTTGTCGGGGTAACCACGGCAGCCATCTTGCTCAGGGACCAAAGTTGCACATTATTCTATGACGAGCTTAATCCTGCACACAATTAAACAAACTCAACACAATTGTCAATTAAAGTACACCGTGGCTTTGAAAGGAATACAATATTAATGGGTGATGTTTAGGGGAGGGGGGGCAATGATTCTTATTCATAGCATAATGATGCGCCTATTGAGTGCAGTTCGCTTTCCCGTAGTAAGATGGCAGACCAATTTGCCGAGCCTGGACAATAAAACACGTTGGTTAATAACACTTTTGTTACCTTAAAATAAAAAAAAATATATAATGGGCGACGTTTCGGGCAATGGCCCTTCACAGCATATACAATTAGGGGTGTTTTTGGTTTTCATGCATATGCACCGCTGCCAATGCAACATCACAACAACAACAATTGCCTCGTACAATCGATGTACACAAATAATTGAGAGGCTTTAAAAATCAATATTTGTGCTGTGCCGTAATTTTCCTTTACATCGGACGCCTATATAAACATCACGTGCAATGTACGTGTAGAAATGTGCTGCCAAAGTGGCCGTTAAACATATTTCAAGTTTTCAAGTTTCATTTATTAAGTATAGCCCTGTGAGCCATGCGGCTCTTAAGTCAGGTGCAACCGCAACAAACACAATTTGAACACAGAACATCTTAAAGCGACAACGCGTAACAGAAACATCCTGGAATAAACCAGCAAATATTCCACACCAAAAAAAAACTTATTAAAACGCTGTGTGCAAAAATCACAATGTGGTGCAAGCCAACAACAACAACCATAAGACAATTTAGATTAACCATGTTTTCGAATCACCAAAATACAGCTATAAAAACAATGTAACAACGGTAATCATAGGAACTGTGATTTTAAATTTAACAATAAACGATATACATAACACGTACGACAAAACCTGCAGCCATAGCTGGCAGCACGACACTCCCAGTGTATGATGTGTGAGTCAGCAGCAGCGTGAGTCAGTGCACGATGTGTTAGTCAGTGTATGATGTGTGAGTGAGTCAGCAGCAGTGTGAGTGAGTGTATGATGTGCGAGTCAGCGTATGATGAGTGAGTCAGTAGTAGCTTGAGTGTATGTGTGAGCGAGTCAGCGTATGGTGTGTGAGTCAGTGTATGATGTGTGAGTCAGCGTATATGTGAGTCAGTGTATGATGTGTGAGTCAGTGCACGATGTGTTAGTCAGTGTATGATGTGTGAGTGAGTCAGCAGCAGTGTGAGTGTATGATGTGTGAGTCAGTGTATGATGTGTGAGTGAGCCAGCAGCAGCGTGAGTGTATGATGTGTTAGCCAGCGCATGATGAGTGAGTGAGTGGTAGTGTGAGTGTATGATGTGAGTCAGTGTATGATGTGTGAGTGAGTCAGTGCATGGTGTGAGTGAGTCAGTGTATGATGTGTGGGTGAGTCAGTGTATGATGTGTGAGAAAGTCAGTGTATGATGTGTGAGTGAGTCAGTGCATGGTGTGAGTGAGTCAGTGTATGATGTGTGAGTGAGTCAGTGTATGATGTGTGAGTGAGTCAGTGTATGATGTGTGAGTGAGTCAGTGTATGATGTGTGAGTGAGTCAGTGTATGATGTGTGAGTGAGTCAGTGTATGATGTGTGAGTGAGTCAGTGTATGATGTGTGAGAAAGTCAGTGTATGATGTGTGAGTGAGTCAGTGCATGGTGTGAGTGAGTCAGTGTATGATGTGTGTGTGAGTCAGTGTATGGTGTGTGAGTGAGTCAGTGTATGATGTGTGAGTGAGTCAGTGCATGGTGTGAGTGAGTCAGTGTATGATGTGTGAGTGAGTCAATGTATGATGTGTGAGTGAGTCAGTGTATGATGTGTGAGAAAGTCAGTGTATGATGTGTGAGTGAGTCAGTGTATGATGTGTGAATGAGTCAGTGTATGATGTGTGAGTGAGTCAGTGCATGGTGTGAGTGAGTCAGTGTATGATGTGTGAGTGAGTCAGTGTATGATGTGTGAGTGAGTCAGTGTATGATGTGTGAGTGAGTCAGTGTATGATGTGTGAGTGAGTCAGTGTATGATGTGTGAGTGAGTCAGTGTATGATGTGTGAGTGAGTCAGTATATGATGTGTGAGAAAGTCAGTGTATGATGTGTGAGTGAGTCAGTGCATGGTGTGAGTGAGTCAGTGTATGATGTGTGAGTGAGTCAGTGTATGGTGTGTGAGTGAGTCAGTGTATGATGTGTGAGTGAGTCAGTGCATGGTGTGAGTGAGTCAGTGTATGATGTGTGAGTGAGTCAATGTATGATGTGTGAGTGAGTCAGTGTATGATGTGTGAGAAAGTCAGTGTATGATGTGTGAGTGAGTCAGTGTATGATGTGTGAATGAGTCAGTGTATGATGTGTGAGTGAGTCAGTGCATGGTGTGAGTGAGTCAGTGTATGATGTGTGAGTGAGTCAGTGTATGATGTGTGAGTGAGTCAGTGTATGATGTGTGAGTGAGTCAGTGTATGATGTGTGAGTGAGTCAGTGTATGATGTGTGAGTGAGTCAGTGTATGATGTGTGAGAAAGTCAGTGTATGATGTGTGAGTGAGTCAGTGCATGGTGTGAGTGAGTCAGTGTATGATGTGTGAGTGAGTCAGTGTATGGTGTGTGAGTGAGTCAGTGTATGATGTGTGAGTGAGTCAGTGCATGGTGTGAGTGAGTCAGTGTATGATGTGTGAGTGAGTCAGTGTATGGTGTGTGAGTGAGTCAGTGTATGATGTGTGAGTGAGTCAGTGCATGGTGTGAGTGAGTCAGTGTATGATGTAAGTGAGTCAGTGTATGGTGTGTGAGTGAGTCAGTGTATGGTGTGTGAGTGAGTCAGTGTATGATGTGTGAGTGAGTCAGTGCATGGTGTGTGAGTGAGTCAGTGTATGGTGTGTGAGTGAGTCAGTGCATGGTGTGAGTGAGTCAGTGTATGATGTAAGTGAGTCAGTGTATGGTGTGTGAGTGAGTCAGTGTATGGTGTGAGTGAGCCAGTGTATGATGTGAGTGAGTCAGTGTATGGTGTGTGAGTGAGTCAGTGCATGGTGTGAGTGAGTCAGTGTATGATGTGTGAGTGAGTCAGTGTATGATGTGTGAGTGAGTCAGTGTATGATGTGTGAGTGAGTCAGTGCATGGTGTGAGTGAGTCAGTGTATGATGTGTGAGTGAGTCAGTGCATGATGTGTGAGTGAGTCAGTGTATGATGTGTGAGTCAGTGTATGATGTGTGAGTGAGTCAGTGTATGATGTGTGAGTGAGTCAGTGTATGATGTGTGAGTGAGTCAGTGTATGGTGTGTGAGTGAGTCAGTGTATGATGTGTGAGTGAGTCAGTGCATGGTGTGAGTGAGTCAGTGTATGATGTAAGTGAGTCAGTGTATGGTGTGTGAGTGAGTCAGTGCATGGTGTGAGTGAGTCAGTGTATGATGTGTGAGTGAGTCAGTGTATGATGTGTGAGTGAGTCAGTGCATGGTGTGAGTGAGTCAGTGTATGATGTGTGAGTGAGTCAGTGCATGATGTGTGAGTGAGTCAGTGTATGATGTGTGAGTGAGTCAGTGTATGATGTGTGAGTGAGTCAGTGTATGGTGTGTGAGTGAGTCAGTGTATGATGTGTGAGTGAGTCAGTGTATGGTGTGTGAGTGAGTCAGTGTATGGTGTGTGAGTGAGTCAGTGTATGATGTGTGAGTGAGTCAGTGTCGGCCCCCCCCCAGCTCCGTCGGCCCCCACCCCCAGCTCCGTCGCCCCCCCCGACTCCGTTGCCCCCCCCCCGGCTCCATCAGCCCCCCTGGCTCCGTCGGCCCCCTCGGCTCCATCGGCTCCCTTCGTTGGCCCCCTCACAAACGGCCCCCGCCAGCCGCTGCTGGGAGCGCGGCCCGGGAACGCGGCCCGGGAGCACGCCTCACCTGTACGGTACAAAATCAAGCAAATACTCAACAATATTCAACTTTTAAATGGCACTGGCGATGATGAATTCGCCACTTGTTGCATAGATGCACGGTTGGTTTGTTTCCATCCGGAAGGCCGCCCTGATTAATATATACTGCAGTTGCCGTTTGGATTTGAACGCAGCATCTCGGCGGTGGAAGTTCAGCGATTTATGTTATTGTAGCTTTTATAGTGTGCTGATCTTTAAAGGTGTATTTAAAAATAAATTATACTGCTAGTGCTACTCGTGCTGTTATGGAGTGACTCATGCAGCCAGCTATGGCTGCAAAGTTTGGTCGTACATGTTATGCATATCGTTTATTGTTAAATTTGAATCACAGTTCCTGTGATCACTGTTACATTGTTTTTATAGCTTTATTTTGGTGATTTTGAAAACTTTTTGTTTAGCCATGTTTGTTGTAGTACAGAGTTAGCCTGATAACTTTAATCTAAATTGTCTCACGGTTGTTATTATTTGACTTGCATCCCACTTAGGATTTTTGCACACAGTGTTGAAATGCGGTGTTTTTTTCTGGAAGACTTTGATGTTTTTTCCTGGATTTTTCCTGTTGCGTGTAGTCACTTTAAGATGTTTCTTGTTCATGTTTTTGTTTGTTGCGGTTGCACCCGAGTCAAGAGCGGCATGGCTCACAGGGTTATACCTAATAAGTGAAACTGAAAACTGAAAAAAATATTTCTGTGATTCATGCAGCACATTGAAG